ACCATAGACAGCCTGGCCAGCCGCATCGAAGACCCCCAGATCCAGGCTCACTGGTCTAATATCAACGATGTGTATGAGTCGAGCGTCAAGGTGCTCATCACCTCTCAGGGCTACGAGCAGATCTGCAAGTAAGTGGAGATGGCGAGGGGCGGACACACAGGAGAGAACCTGCTAATCTGTTCATGAGCCACTGTTTCCATCTGCAGGTCCTTTAATAAGTTGTCAATGTGAACTGAAAGCTTGACATGTAATTTTCAGGTTTGCTTTCATGTTTACTTTAATTAACCACATTGTAAAAGGTAGAAACAGCAGTGACAGTTGTACATGAGTCTGCTGTTATCAAATGTTCCCTCGTTTTGTATTGCGTTTCATTACACATGCATGTGTGAACGCTCACAGATAAAGCTCAGTGTGTTTTGTGAGTTTAGGTCCATCCAGCTGCAGCTGAACATCGGCGTGGAGCAAATCAGAGTGGTGCACAGAGATGGACGTGTCATCACGCTGTCACACCAGGAGCAGGAGCTGCAGGACTTCCTCCTTTCACAGGTATCACACCGGTGGTGGGGGATGGTGTGTTTACTTGAATCAGTAAACCGTATGTGGCTGCCAACCTGCTGTGTACGGTATCTGGTTAACCATTGCCTGGTCTTTTTGTGTCTCCCTGCATCGCTGTGTCTATCTCATGACATTACAGATGTCGCAGCATCAGGTGCATGCTGTGCAGCAGCTCGCCAAAGTCATGGGCTGGCACGTCCTGAGCTTCAGTAACCACGTAGGCCTGGGCCCGGTGGAGAGCATCGGAAACGCTTCCTCAGTCACGGTCGCCTCTCCCAATGGAGAGTACGCCATCTCAGGTGAGACGGGGAGGTTGGCTCTGAGGTAGAAACTCTCAGTAAATATCTTTCATTAGATATTTTGGTCAGAATCCAACAGAGACTTCCTTCTAGAGTCACCAGTATGGACTGACATTCAGCAGTCCAATGTATGACAGCTGTGAAGTAATGCAGGTTTTGCCACTAACCTTAGACCTAAGTGACCAGAATGCACTGCAGCAGAGCTAAGAAGACCTGTTGCATTTTGATTTATTAGGCTATTGCTGTCATTCTTTGTGGCCACGTGTTGAGCTCAGTACAGCTTGGCCACGTTCAGTCTCTGATGGATGTGGACATTTTGACAGACGTAGGAAGTCAATCAGTCGACGAGACAGGCTGGTACACACTGAGAGATTGTTTAGAAAAATCACAATTCACCTCAAAATAAATGTTTCATAACACCATTCACTAATATTTAATACTGTAAGGCAATCTGATGATGTCATAACCTCAGATTATCAAGAAATAAGTATGAGTGTATTGGCATGACAGTGTTTGTGTTTCTGTGTGTATCTGTCTCTGTTCAGTGCGTAACGGCCCAGAAAGCGGGTGCAAAGTTTTGGTCCAGTTCCCCCGCAGCCAGACCAAAGACCTGCCGAAGAGCGATGCCATCCAGGAGGCCAAGTGGAGCCACCTCAGGGGACCATACAAAGCGGTCCACTGGAGCAGGATGGAGGGGCGAAACTTTGTCTACAAGATGGAGCTGCTCATGGCGGCACTGACTCCCGGTCCTTAGATACTGTACTGCCTCTGGCTGCAGGCTCGTTTCCATACACAATACCGTGGCTTTTATAGAGCCATGACACGGGCCATTTGGCCAAAACTGTGCTGCTATAGAACTGATGCCCACCTCCAGCAGTGTCTGCCGCCTGCTTTGTTTTGATCATGTCGTGTGTGGAGTACATGTTTACCTCAAACAGTTTGATATAAAATAAAATGGAAAACGTCTGTAGAGCATTTGTCATGATTTATCAAACTGTATGAATACAGCTATGAACTAGACGGCACTCGGAGAGCGCAAACCTTCACCAGAGCAGCTCCCTGTCCTCATGATTTCATTACACCTAAAAACATTATTCTCATAATAGGCTGACCCTCATAATGTGACTGCTTGACTGTGGAAACCCACCCCTAGCATTTGGAATCACACTGATATTAGTTTAAAAGTTGTTCAAGAAAAATATCTAACTAATGGCAGTTTTCTTTAGGAGCTAACTCGGTAACTTTTGAAAATACGTCCAATCTGTTGACACCGAATCAACAGCTTTCAACTAGAATTTGATCGTAGTTGCTGCAGCATCATTTGTTGTCTCACAGCAATGAGTTTTTTGTGAGTCCAATGAAGGTGAACATTAAATCATCAGATCCAAAATAGGACTTGGACCCAGATCGGACTTTGGTCTGTGGTCAGTCTTATGTGGACATTATTTTTATTTTTTGTCCAATACTGAAATTGGCCCTGTCTTACAATGAAGAACCTTTTTTTTTAAATTCCTGGGTTTAAATGATGATCCGTGGGCCGTGCCCTACCTCTTCAAAAACGTTCATCCAAATCTATTCATTAATTTTTGAGTTATGCTTTGAACACACAACAACACCGGCAGAGATGTTTTCTGAGGAACACTTCAATGTGTTTTTATTGACAGGAACAAGCTTCTGTATTCTTGCTTTTATTCAGCATTTTGTAAAAACCGATTGTCCTCTTAGTCTGATCCAACAGGCTGACAATGCCATAGTCACATGGAGTATATTGCATCATATGACTTACAGCACACGCTTATGTAACAAAGTTCCTTTTTCTTTATAATAACATTTGTTGTATCTTGGGGTGGCTGTGGCTCATGAGGTAGGTCAGGAGACGACTGCCCAGCAAGTTGGTGGTTTGACTCCCGGTCTCCCCGCATGCCTAAGTGTCCCTGAGCAAGACACTGAACCCCGAATTGCTCCCGGTGGCTTGACTAGCGCCGGTGCATGGCAGCCTGTCGTCATCGGTGTGTGAATGGGTGAATGGTGTATGATCTTCTGTAAAGCCCTTTGGCCAGTGCAACACACTGAGAAAGCGCTATATAAAATACAGTCCATTTATCTTGTAGTGTGTTGTCACTGCATCTGAAGTCTGATTCAGAAATGCTGCTGTATAGTTTTCACAATTTTTACAAAGCTTGATGCAAGTTGGTCGATGGCAGTGAAGAAGTCATTAAAAAAAATCCTACAAGGCAATAAATACATATGTACTGTTTTCCAGTGATATATTTACATTCAACAGTGTCATCAGGAGTGAGCTATTGCAGTGTATCATGTACTCAATGTTTTCTTGTTACAGTTTTTCATAACTGACAAGCCGCCTTCCCAGTTATTTTACTGTATGTAGGTACATGACATTTACATTCTAAAAAGTAGTCCTTGTGCTGCAGCACTGACACGTTTCTGACCGTGTCTGGCTTGTTTTCATGCCAGATACGAAGCACAGCTAGACGTCCATCAAAGAGGATGCAGCTCCGTCTCATCATTTTCTGCACAAAGGGATAATTAAATGTCAATACAGAAACTAGTGTTTCACAACATGCTGGTGTGACACAGCTACAATAGAACTTCACAGACCTTTGTGCCCAGACACACCCATACATAGACACAATATATAACTTCAACCCACGTCCACGCCCATCCAGCCATATCTCAAGTCACACAATGATGAAACAGCAAGAACAAAGACTGTGAACTGTGAGGTAAGCAAACCTCTCAAATAAACAGGTTTGTATGAAATGTCTTTTTATTAAGATTCTATACAGTTATGTTATCTTACCCATTATTGCCATTGCATACATTTTATTTGTCCTGTTCACCAAGGTGCTGTAGTGTTTATCTTGTGGGAGTTTGAGCCTTAGTATAAAGTTCATCATGAACATTTTTCATTCAGACTGATTCCATTGTTCATTAAGGCTTGTTTTTCATGTTACTTTACCTGGCATCTGTTTCCTGCGTCTGCATGCCACTATCCTCCTGTAGGCCTTGTCCAGTAGCCACAGCCCCAGTATGAGAAGAAAAGCCACACAAGCCAGCGCCAAGGCAGTGATAGACAGGTACTGCAGATCCTCATACAACACCTCTGGAGGACAGGAACACAGGAGCCAAGTCATATTTACGTCAAAAGAAATACAGTGGGCACACACTATTTTCCAGAGACGCAAATACAGGAGAAATCCATCTTGTATGCAGAAAGGAGGCAGCACAGGAGCAGGAAGTTAAAATGTTAATAATGTTAAATACTAATAGATTCTTATGTCAATGAACAAAATCTTATTATTTTAACACAAACATTCAGTCAGGTTGTAGTGTTTATTGAAAATTAACTCATAGATCCTGCTTTAAGATCTGAAGGGCAAATATTCCAGACCTTCACTACCTACACAGATATGGTTGTCTTTGTTTGTAGGAACGCCTTGACCACACGCACACATTTACACCTTGAAGCTGCCTAGTACAGGCGATATGCATACAACCCGCCGCTGCCCACCGAGCAGCTCCGCTGGCGTGCAGTTCAAGGGCACCTCAGTGGTGGTAATGAAGACACAGTAAACATGCTTTGCCACCTTCCTGCCTGCATGTCTCCTGCCAAATGAGGTCAAACCAGTCACAAGCCTGCTTTTAATATCAGCAGACATGTTAAGGCAACTGTCAGTCTTATACCCCAGAGAGTGTTACCACAGTACTGCTGAGCAAGGCACACTCGTGGTCAGACTTATGCTTAGCAAACTATTACTATTCTACAGTCACTAGCTCTGTCTTTTAAAACATCTTGTTTAAAGATTGTTTGGCACATTGTTGCTGTGGTTGTTCTGGTCTGATTTGCTGTTACACAGCGGGTTTAACCTTTCTTTATATGCCTATGAATCTAGGCAGTGTAAAAGTGGGCAACTGTGGTTTTCCAGAATGTCACTCCCATCTTTTTGCTTTAGGGATGACATAAAGAGAAACCCGGAACCACTCACCGTTCACTTTCAGCACAAACCCGGTGTCCTTGCTGCTTCCTGCCGTTTCTGTGACGGTGACCACATAGTATCCAGCATCCTGCAATCTAAGGTCTGACAGGCCCATAGAGCCATTGTTGTACATCTCCACTCTGCTGCTGTAGTCCTCTGTTATGTTGGTGTACACCCCCGGCTGCCACGTCCCTATGGAGCGGCTCACCGCTGCTGACATAAAAGTCCATTGTATGGTGGGGACCCCGTCGCAGGAAATATTGACTGAGAAAATGACATCCTCCTGCACAGACCTGGTGAGGCTCCTCTGGGGAGAATGGATGGAGATGGCTCCCACTTCCAAAGGCAAAAGGATGAAGGGATGTGAGGATACAGATTTTAGATTCACTAAGTACACTATGAGATGAAAATGGCATTTCACAGATAAATATAGAGACATGGTGTCAGAGTGTGTGTTTGTGTGTGTATATATACAGCAAATAGATGAATACAGCAGGAAAAAGAAGCAGAATGTTAACTGTGACAACACATGATAAACATCTTTGTCCGTCATGCTTTTACTGTTCCACCTTCATGCAGGTGTGTCAGTAGTTACAGCATAAACATTTCAGTCCACTGCACAATACAGCTCATTAACAAAACATATAATACCAAAGCTCAATTAGTCACTCTTTCTGCAAACTGTGACTCATTTGCACTAAATTCCATGTATGGTCAGAAATGTGCTGTTCTACTGCTGGAGGGAAAAAACTTGTCAAACAAGATGAGTGGTACTAATTTGAACACAGTAGCGTTGGAGTTGTGTCTGTTTTAGCCATCCTTCATCAAATACTTTCACAGGATACTCAGTGGGGGATCCGGTTCTGCTGCCGATGTGTTTACTCAATGCATTCCACCTGAGATTATGATTATGACTAAGATGGAGTGAGAAAGGGTGGCTGTCCTTTTCTTTCACACATCACACACAAACAGTGATTAACCAATACACCATGGCATAAACATTAATAATCATACTGTAGTTTCTGTGGGAAATTTATTAGAAATAAATGCCCTTCAAAAAAGGTTTTCTTAAATTTTTTAAATTCTGCGCAGCTGTGACTTTCTCTAGTGTACTGCTTGTCTCCAGGACAGTCTGATGCTTACACAGCCATGTGTTCATGACCATGTTGGTCTTATGCAAGTTAACAGGTGATAATGCACAATTAAATGTACTAAAGAAGTGGTGAGTATTCATATGGAGGTTAAACAGTGGCTGGCCCGACTGGCTTGATAGGCAGCCACATCTAACCACCGACACTGCTCTACCAAGATTGTCAAGCAGAAGAAAAGCACTAATCAATTCAACTCCGTTTTTTTTGCATAGCACCAAGTCACAACAAAAATCACCTCAGGGCACTTTAACAGTCCCCCTTGAGCAAGCGCTTGGCAATTACGCAAGTAAGTGCTGAGTCAGTTACTGTATTTTCAGCAATGCCAGTACAAATTCTGTGTGGGTGTTGGAGTGAAGACTAGTCTACAGAGTCATCAGGTGGGCGCCCTCTCACTAACTGGAGTTTCATTGAGTTCAATTCAGTTTTATTTGTATAGCACCAAATCACAACAAGAGTCATCTCAGGACACTTTACAGAGTTCGGTCTAGACCTTATTATTATTGTTATTGAGAAAACACAGCAAATTCCCCCTGAGCAAGCACTTGGTGACAGTGCCAACTCCCTCGGGCCCACAACATTGACAAGGCTCAGCAGTGCGTTCCAGTGTCCCAGAACCTTCCCCCTCTTTGCACTGAACACAATAAAACACAGGACACAAGACCTGAAATGATCTATGGGTTGTACTGTATCTATAGTTTGCACACCTGCCAAGTTCTCAGGTTGAGTTTCTATTAAAAAGCCTGCAGCCTCGCACTTTGTGTTTAGTCGTGAAAAAATATAGGATTGCTCACAAACAGTAGTGAAATACTTAGGCTTAGTGACCAAATTATAAAGATATGTTTGGGTACTTACCTAGGTGACACAGATATAATGTGACGCTGAGAAACACAGCAACACCTTGTACATCCCAGAGCCTAAAATGCCACATTAGAATCTAACATCCATTTGTCGAACCGCAGTAGAAGAATCTCCTCCAGGTTAAATCACATGCTGGAACATTATCCCGCCACTATTATCCCAGTCTTTCCTCGTTTCCAGTGTTTCCTCTTCCACTGTCCTTTTTACAGGTGTTTGTGTGTAATGATGTTTTTCCCCCCTAAAGTGCTGAAGAATCCCTCCTTTCTCAGGACTGTGCTGAATTTCTCTTCATACCTGTGCAAGTCAGAACCAGACAGCCCTTATCGACTAGATTCAGCCAGCGATTACAGAGCAAACATATCCTGAGCGTTCTTTTATTACACATACACACAGATAAAGGAAGAAACACACTTGCAACATCCATCTCAATGCACTTACTAACCCCCCCAACCCAACAAACACTCACCTGAGTACTGTTGTAAAATGAGACCAGGGGAGGTCGAATTACCTGGTATTCACACTATAGCACACCTGGTAAAACGTGTCAAACAGGAAGTGTAAATTCACATGCCTGCACCAAGAAACACAAACACACAAGGAATGGACATTTCAATATAAAAGGCATGTATAAACTGCTGGATTCTCTGCTTGTGTGTTTTAACTTTTATAACACAGAAAACATATTAAGTTCTGATTTATTTTTTATTGTAATATCTCTTTCTAGATTGGCATCAGAGAAATTGAGATAACAGGATTATCTCAATAAAGAATTTTTTAAAATTATTTTTAGTCTCAAGACGTCATCTCTTGACATTTTTTATATAAAACTGCATAATTAAGTATTCTAATAACATTTATGAAAAAGCTAACTAGGCCCTGCTAATAGTACTGTAATAAATAAATAGGATGTATTTTTTCAGGTTGCAAATAGTTGTTCATGTTTTTACGTTAGTATTCACACTTTACGTACGAGTAGCTAGGTTAGCTAAATGGAGGGATTAGTTTTCATAGAGGCCATGACGCTGCTCGAATTTATACCGCCGCTCCCTCTGTGTATCACGGGCTAGAAAAGTGTCGCCTAGCGAAGTCCAAGACAACTTTTAATAAGTGTATTTTAACGTTACTGAATAACTTATCCTTTGTTTCAGCTACTCAGCTGACAAATAAGAAGACAAATTTTGGGGGGTAACCACTGCTACCTGCATTTGATTAGCTAAATTAAAGTAGCTAGCTAGCAACATCTTCCAATTTTTTAAATTTTATTTCAGTATAATTTTACCTCTGGTGGTTTATTTCACTTTGTTTCTGTTTACCTAAGCTTAGTTTGATGTATTATGCCCACTTTTGTTTATTTGAACTGGGTTTCTGTTTTTAAGAAAACTTTGAAAAGTAGCTAGCTTGCAAGCTAAAATTACTTTTCTGTAGTTTCATGGATTTTGGAGGGATTTTCTTTATGGTGGCAGAGACAGGTTGCATGCTAGCTTTAGCTCGCGCTTTTCCAGCGGGCTAACTCAACGTCAATGTTAACTTGTTTCTTCATATCCATGGATGTGTCATACATTATTTAATAAGTTACTGACTTTTTTACAACGTGGGTCCATGTTTGCCACAGGACATTAACCTACACACTAATGTTCAGCATATGTAATTAACAAAATTGTCAACATTGTAGCTTGGTGGTGTGTAGGTGTGAGGATGGGCTAACGTCATTAAGTAGTTGTGAAATTTGATGTAGCATTAAACCTAACAGAGACATAACCCGTGTCTTAAAAACTGACATGCTGGCTCATACTTTAAATTATATCTGTCTTTATTTTGGTTCAGAAGCAGACAATGATGCATTATGCAGTATAGGGATGTGAACTTTACAGTTAGTCCTCCTCTCCACGAGGGGGTGCTGGAAGAACTCCGTTGTGACCTGAGCGCAAATCGTAAAAACATTATTTGCATCAACCGCACAAAGTCATTACACATTACTGGGTTAAATTAAACTACTATATATACGTTTATAGACCTAGTATATACTCTAACGTGTCTGTAAAGGGAAACTTGGTTTAGTAGATGTTTTTACTCTTTTTACTTACTATTGGACTAAAGTGTATCACGTGATCGGGAAGTAACAACAAGGTGGATTTTTCAAACTATAGTATATTATAAGACCATAACAAAACACCACTGGTGGTAGATAATCTAAGAAGTGTGTCGCTCGTGTTTTATATTTTATTTTGAGCCCAAAATATTGTAGCTTATGTTTAAAACCATCAGCGAGAGTGACTGTGCGGAGCATGACCCCCTGACCTCCGACAGTTTAACGGCATCGCTTCTCGGCCTTTTGGCTAAGATCAAGTGTAGTATCTGTTCTTATCAGTTTAATATCTGATACGTCCCCTACCCGGGGACCATATATTAAATTGATTTTTGGAACAGGGAGATGGAATAGGGGCTTGCTCCGTCCACTCCACGCATCGACCCGGTATTGCAGTATCTCCGGGACCGGTGCACCCCCTCCCTTATTTGTTAAATAACAATTATTAATGTTCCTTGTTTGGTTTTACTTCTGAAAGACAACAATCCGTAGTTGTTGTGTGGAGCCTAAGTTAGATGTTAACATGTGACAGTGAACCTGAGCCTTATCTCGACACCCAGGACGAAGCAGCACCGTGTTGAACTTTACATCCTGCTGACAAACAGCTCAGTGTGACATGTGTCATTCTGTATAATGGATACTTTCACTTTGGTACTTCAAGTACATATGCTAGTGCTTTTGTACTTAACATTTTGAATTCGGGACTTGTAACAGTATTTTAACACTACTTCTAACTTAAGGATCTGATTACTTATTCTAATTACTTTTTAACAGATGGTTACATATTAACAGTGAACCTGCCTTTTCTATTTGATCACAACAGCTGGATTCAGGCAGGTTTTGTATCCAAATGAAACTGAGCCGTGTTTCCCTTTCATTGCAACAGGAAGAATCATTTCCGGGGGTGTGTCCAGTCTGTTTAGTCCACACAGGGTAAGCAGCAGCAGGAGCAGCAAAACAGGCCTTTGCTTCACTATTTCCCTCTTTAAGCCTTGAAGTGCTGCCTACAGCATCGTAGCTTTTCAGTTTTCAGCCTGCTGAGTTTTGCCTTCACATTCAACAACAGACTGACAAACAACCTTGCGTTCGATGGGTATCATGACCCAGCTAGTGGCCAGTATGAAAGTAGCTTGTAGTCAGCTCCTATGAATAACAGCACAGCTGGTGGCTGCCAAATGCTCATGTTAGTCTCAGCTAATTTTATTTGATTATGATCTTTGGTGTTTTTTCACCATGGTCTCTTATCCTGGATTTGAGCCAGGGCATATACCGCCAAAGCGAGTTCAACAGTGTATGATTCTTTTGGGTTTGCAGTGTGTTGTCATATAATTGTCTACTTCAGTTTATAACAATGTAGTCACATCATGCATTTCTGTTCCCTGATTAGGGAGTTTTTTCAGACTTCCAGCTGGAGGAAATAAATTGGAAATGATGGATGTCAGATGTTTGTGTTTTATGGGAGACCATGGGAATCGTGCGATAAAGCCTTAGGACCCCTGACCAGACTCCTGGTAAGGAAACACACACCTCACTGTACTTTGTTTCTTACTGCTAAAATGTGGAAACTATCAATAAAAAAACATTTAAACCTTGCAGCAGACAATCAGATAAGACAAGCAATACGTTAAATTAAAAACAAAGGGATTGAGTAATTAATTGAATTCTTTAACTGACAAGTAAATATACACCATGATCATCTTTAAATGTACATAACAGACAGTCAGTCAATGGCCTTTTGTTTGCAAACTTTATTTTGGTTAGGGGGAATGTTTGTGCAAGACATTTATTCCTGAAGGTTAGGCAAAACTGGAATATCACATTTTTCACAAAGTAGAGAAAGTAAGCCCCCCTCCACCACCGTTCACAGGATGGACCTTTGATAATCAAAGACAATCATACTAACTGGAATAAAAATAAATCTAGAGTTAGTTGTTACATGCCTGTGCTCCAGTAAATATAGCCATCTGCGTCAACTAACATGAGCCACAATGTGTTTAACTTACAGTGTATATTGACATGTACTATGGGATTTCTTCATGGTAATACATTTTTGAAATACAACCACAAAATGTACATTTCTGTTGAGAACCACAACATCTGAACCTTTGTTGGACAAAAGAGACTGGCGTGTACTGTGCAGACAGGAACCCCTCACTCTAGATTTGTTTATGCTTTCTTCACATCTGTACTTTTACTTCATCGACCATCTCCTTTATGTCAGCAGGTTGTTGCTTATTACTGTTAGAACACAAGTTCCCAGTACAACCTTGCCAAGGCTTTTGGCTGGGGTGGTTACAGAGAGGGACACTTGGTCACTTTGGTCAGTGAGTCAGCAGCAAACAGTTCACACATCCCAACAGTATCTAGGAATTGTGGCGCACTTCAGGACTTCAGTCCATGACACAGTATCAGTAGTTACACTAAGTAGCTTGGTCCCCCATCATTAACTTCGTGCACCTGTCAGTATACCCAAGCTTAACATACACACATTCAAGCACCCATTCACACATTTCTCCATACTCAGCCCAGTGGAGGCACTTCATATGAAAGTGTAGAACCTGACTGTCGGGCTATAACGAGGCAGTTCAAAATTAACAGGACAGGACTGTGAAATTTAGTGTTCTCACTCAGTGACTGATTTTAAGTTAAGAAACCCAAACAGGCCAGGAAGGTGTCTGTCTTCTGGCCACAGTGGGTCGGACTCCTGAAAATCACTCGCTGGTCAGTCACTATGCATCTAACCTCCAAATGTGTCTAGTAGAAGACACAGCCATTACCAAATTTACCCGCGTTAGAGTGGTGGCAATTTTCACCCTGTGCCTATCCCATACATTGGAACTTATTTTCACTGATACAGCCCATGCATCATTACTATTCATACACACACACACACACACAAACCATACTAGTGTGTGTTAAGATTAAATTCTATAGCAGCTTCAAGGGGCAGGCACATCAAAAATGAGAGCCAGAAAAAAAAAACTGCCATCAAGTTGAAGACTAAAATCCAGAAAAGCTACAACTCGCACCTCCCGAGTTTTTCTCTGCAGATGAAGCATCACCTTGTCGTTCTTTCTCCCCGTTGACCTGTGCGGTGTTCAAAGAACGATTCAGAGAGGGGAAATGCTCGGTGTCGTGAAAGACATCAGATTAAAGCATGGATGCAAACACCTGATTTGCCTCTGAGTGCAGACAATCAGTTTACACTGTCTGCGTCACCTATGGCACCTAATGTGAAAACACCTATGGCTTCAGGATGCAGTGGTCCAAAAAATAAATTAAGAAACTATATCAGGATATTTATTACCTCTAACAAAGAAAACAGTCAAAATACTTTAAAATAACTGCTACAGCCCTGTTCTACATACTAATTCTGCTAAATACTATTCACTCTCAAAACCATCTTAAGTCCTTAATAGATAGGAAACATTTGAGACAGCACAATGGGCGATGTACCAACAGGTGTATGTAGCAATATCACCCATTCCCACTGCCTGTACATATTAACACTGCCCACTGATCTGACAGGACAGTTTCAACAGACTGCAAATGAACCAAAGCCCAGGGAAAAGAACAAATAACTTGGTCACAGTGAAGCCACACTTCAGCTGGAATCCTGGCAAAGAAAATCAGCTAAGAGGAGTTTTAGTAGAGGATAACTGCTGAGACATTTAAGGCTTTTTCCAGAAGGCTTGAGGATAGCAGAGCAAATCATGCCCAGAAAACATCAACCTGAAAAAAAGACTTGGGTCCAGAGCATTGTGAGACACATCTAGTAAAACCTAACCTGCATTATGTGTTTTTTTTTTTTTTTATAGGTAGCAAAAAATACAATACAGGATTCTGCCAGTGATCAGTAGCTGAACAGGCCCAGAAGCCACACATCAGTTCATTTGCATTGTGGCTCAGGAGGTAGCGCGGTCATCCCCCAACCAGAAGGTTGGTGGTTCGATTCCCGTTCTCCCCAGTCCACATGTCAAAGTGTCCTTGGGCGAGACACTGAACCCCAAGATGCTCCCAATGGCCAGAACAGTGCCATCATAGGTGTGTGTGTGAGTTGGCGCCACAGATGGCTGCCTCGGTTCGGTACCGGAGACAAATTCCTTGTGTGTGTGTGTGTGTGTAACATACTTGGCCAGTAAAGTGATTATCATTATCATCATTACAGTAGTAAAGTGGTGAGTCAGTGTGTTGGAGGGGAAATGAAACATTTTCCCAGCTTGCATTATTCAAAGTACTTGCATTCTTGCAAGTGATCAATTTGCTTTTCACGTACTGACATATATAAACCATTTTCATAATAATTTGATCCATTCAGTTTCATATTAGCTATAGACACACGGGGGCTAATGGAGTCTTTGCTCCTTTTGCCAAATGTTTAGCATAACATTTAAAAGTAATTTCTACAGTTCAAATAGGACTAACTAAAGACATACAAAACAAATAGGAATAAAATGACTTCTTCAAAAGCACGTTTTGAAATATTACACTCGAGAGGGCACTTTAGACTTTCTAAACATAAGAGCAATTTGAAAATTTACATGACTCTCAGAAATTAAGAATCCTGCTGCTTTTGCTAGTGCTGGCATTTCTTATTTTTGACAAAGGTTCTCCTCAACAGTGATATTTAGTGGTTTGTTGCACGCCGTATGATGCCAAAACTACTTGGACCAGTCACAGTGCACTTCAGAAGCCATGTTGTATTCTTGATAGAAGTGGCTCTTGAGCAAGTGTTCAACTCAACTATGGAAGGAAGCTCCTGATACAAAAGCCTTATCTTATTAATTGCATATACATGCAACTTATTTATCCTCTTTACAGGTTTGTGATCCATTTGAATAACAATTTGCACATGAAACCATTACACAAGGACATTCTAAATTTTACCTTTTGGCCAGTTTCTAAATTCTTCACAAATGCTGAAAAAGGGTGAGTTATTCCTTGTCAACCTAGGAAAAGCACTGACAATCATATGGCAGGCATATTCCTAGAACACTACAGATACATGAATGAAGAGCAGCACATCCATGCCAGTGATGAAAAGATGATTTCTAGTCAGTGGACAAAAATCTCAGAATCCCTTCATCTGCAATAAAGGTATGATGACATGGCTTAAGACCTGAGGAATACCACAACCTGGTGGGTCTACAAATCAAGCTCTGAAGCAGGGAAATGTAATTGATCACTTGCAAGATAAACCACAGAAGCTGAACGTAGCTGTTGAGAAAACCTCAAAAACACACAGAATGAGGAAAGGTGCACGCTTTACAGGTAGCCTGGGTGATGAGTGTGGATGCTGGGTTCCTGAACATGGCCCATAGCTGATCTGTGCATCTTCTCCATTACATCCATGTTCTGCTCCTGAAAGCTGGGAATCTGGAAGTCCCCTCCTAAGAAATCCACATTCTGCATCAACTTTGACTGGACAGTAGGAGCCTCTTTGTCTGGCCTGTACTTTGCCCCTGGGATACGGTCAGTGGAGGCAGTAGCCTGCCCTCCCTGGAGAGCCACTGGGAGATCCTGAGGGACGGATCCATTGTTACCTGTTGTGGCTGGGATGCTGCCCCACAGTGGCTGCATGCAGTGGCCATTAATGTAAGGCATAGATCCCACTGGGCAGTTAACAGGGGATGATGGGTGTGGTTTTTCTGCTGGGTGTTTTAGAGGAAAGGACTGTGCACTGTTGGGTGTCTTGTGGGAATAGTTGAGGTTCCGAGAGGGGAATGCACACTCAGCTGAGGGATCCATCCTTGGGTTCTTGCAGGGATGGGCCCCCTCAGGGTGCTGCTGCATGTGGGCCAATTGATGCTGGGCCCAGGAGCGCTGTTGCTGCTGCAGCTGCTGTAGTTGTAAATGTTGCTGCTGCTGCTGTAACTGTTGCTGTTTCTGCTGATGCAAATGGTGCTGAAGCTGCTGCTGCTGCAGTTGTACCTTCTCTGGATCCGTGTGAAAAGCAGGTATACTGTTTGTAGCAGCTATATTGGGCTGTGAATGGAGGGCCGCGCTGGGAGTCTGAGGTGGAGCTTTGTCTGGGGGTCCCACCATGAGGCAGCCGGGCACAGAACCCAAAGCCAGGTGGTGAGAGGACACCCTGGAACTGGCGCTGATCAGCAGATTTCGGCTAATGGGGCTGGGGTTTGCAATCTGGCCCTCACAGACTGAAGTAGTGCCCATGCTAGCCCGTGCCTGACACAGCTGGTTGATTTGGTGCACAATGCTGCTCAGGTCACCAGGCCGGTTCTGATTCAGACTGCCTGCCATGGACAGTGGGATGGTGGAGGTAGATACAGTTACATTTGGTGGGGCGTCTGCGTCAGGGAGCTTCCGGGATCCATATGCCCCCACTGGGGGCTGGTGGAGGCTGTTGGGCATCGTAAGAGGTCCTGCATCCACAGCCTGGGAAAGAGGCTGTGAGCCAACAAGCCCCTGGGTGTGCTGCAGGCTCGGAAGCTGAGCTCCATCAGGCATGTGGCGCAGATCCTGAGTCACTCCTGTTTGTTTAAGTAAAGCTTGCAGAGGAGCAGTCTGGTGCTTTAGTGTCTGCAGATGAGAAAGATGCTGCTGTGGTATGACTGGACAAGACTGGCTCTGCTGTTGCTGCAGAGCCTGGGTGTGAGGCAGACTCTGCTGCCTCTGTATGACTTGTGGATGAGATAATTTTTGCTGCTGTGAAGTCTGAACCTGGGACAAACTCTGCTGTCGCTGTCCCGGAGCCTGTGGATGAGCCATGTTCCTTTGCTGTGAAGCCTGTGGGTGAGGCATGGTTTGACGCTGCTGTAAGGTCATGGGATGAGTCATGCTTTGCTGCTGCTGTAGTGCCTGTGGGTGAACCATGCCCTGTTTCTGGGCAGCAAGTTGAGAGGGGCCCTGTAAGTGAGCTGTAGGCTGAGGAAGATTTAAAGTGCTTTGTGTGGTGTATGGCCCACTGTGAGGGTTCATGACGGCCTTATGAAGATGTCGGGTGCGGCTACCGTCCGACTCTTTGACCACACTTTTGGCAGGTGTACGGAGGACAGCCAGCAGGCCCCCACTGGCACTCACTTGAGAGGGGTAGGGACTGTGGCGCTGGCTGGACGAGGATGTGTCAAGCCCGTTGACTGTGCGTCGAATGTGCTTCCTCTGAGGTACTTTGACACTGTTGGGGAAGATCTGGATAGTTAGAGGGTTGTTGGCAACTTTCTTAGCATAGGCATCCAATTCTGCTGGGGTCGGACAGCTGGCAGATCTCATCTTCTGTATAGTTTCCCCTGCAATGTATAAAAAGTCAGACAACAGAAATGCCTGGAGAAACTGGGATTTGACATATGACACATGCCACATACTAAAATATACTGCAGTGCTACACCGCTACAGCAATGTAGGAATAAAACCAACTGCAGCATGAGTAGTTTGAACAGCTACAGCTCTTTAAGTTGTAATTACTGCAGCGAGCAGGACTTTTTATGCTTCCATTGATGTTTTGGGTCAAATGCAAATAGTACTTAAAAGCCGGCACAAGACTTACTTGTTTTAGCAAAAAAAATAAATACTGAAGTTTTCAGCTGTTTTACAAGTCAGGAACAAGTAAATATTGTGGATAAATGATATTGTGAACCTCAATCTGGGTATAAAATTTAAGACCAGCACACTTTGATCCCTACTGCTGACTACTGAGGAAATGAAATAGGAAATAAAACCACAATATGGTGGAGGAAAGCACTTACATTTCTGAAGTCCAGTGTTCATCTGCGTGAGAGAGGGAGAGAAGTCCGACGGTAGGGTCAGCTGATGCTGGCAGACAGGCCAGCATGTCACTATTCCACTAATGCAGCATGGGAAACCTTGTCCTCACCATACTGGGGAGAAACAGAGCAGGCGAAGTCAGCTGACAGACACTTACGTTGGTGTGAAATGACATTGCTATCACCTGCTTTCACATTCTCTACAGTCTGACCTTTTGTAAATGGCAGCTTGTATTAAACCGACATCACACAAAAGCTCACAAAGAGCTAAGATGAAGAATAAAAGCCAGTTTTTAACAAAACTATGATGGCAGGTGGCAAACCAACCAGCTGTCCTCTCCAAGGCAAAAATAGCACAAATGTCTCTGGTGAATGTGTTTTAGTACATCATATTATAAAAGGATTCACTCATCACGGATCCAAATGAATTTAACTCCACAAATATTCAGTTTCCTTTCATATATACAAGAAATAAAAGCTACAAATCATCTTATCTAGTTTCACTAGTTTTGTTTTTAAAATGCCTTAATTATCAAAATAGTTGCCAACTGTTCTTTCATGGCATTAATCGATTAATTTGCTAATCCCTTCAGCTCTAACACACGCATTGTCACCTTGGTCTGTAGAACAGAACAGACGAATCATCAGTCACCGTCGTCAGATTAGCATAAAAATGAAAATCATCGTTAGCTGCAGCTCTACTATTTGTTCCCCGTGGCTTCTACTGAAAGGATGTTGGGAATGAGTCTCTTTACTAATTATGCTTTCTTATGGTTTAGTCACGCATCCTTCTGCAGATTCATCATTATTTTTGCAGACAGCCAGTGATTCATCATTAGTTCACTTCCAGTGTTCAAATACTTATTTCTAAAGGATTGTGGATTATGCTTATTGTGAGATAAAGTCTTTGTGTAATCATATATTCAATAAGACTTGGTTTTCATGTGTGATCTATATTAAAACACGTCTGGCTACAAGACCATCGTTTGGACCTGTTCATCCTCTGTGTCCTACAGGAGGGTGCAGTGTTGTTGAAGTGAAACGGGTCCTCACGAACACTGACGGTATAATGTGACGTTTTCTACAAACACAGGCCACATTCACCCTTTAGAGCTGCAGCCAAATCACATGTTTAGTAGTCTTACAGCGGGATAGGTTATCTTTCTGATAGTCTATAGCTAAGTACCGTTAGCCATCTGTCTAGCAATTCAGCCGTAATCTGCTTTAATGAACCTGCTAGATAACGTTACTGCTGATCTAACAAAAGTAGTTGGATTATTGCAGCAGCCAAACACAAACTGGACTCGCCGCAGGGCCGCAATGCCCCCTTTAGTAGATTTCAGAAACGGTGAAATAACATCGTTCAATAGCTTAACTCGAGTCAGGCTCCACAATGAATAAGGAGCTGCTTTGTGCTTATTGTGACCAGGCCAGCTGCTAACCAAACTTCAGCTTTTCATTGACAAAAACACCGAAGCAACCCGAAGCAAAGACGTTGATACTCACGTCGCACGAATCTATGAGTAAGGAAACTTCATTTTGTGATGATATAACGCTGATTTTGGTTTTAAAAATGAAATGACCATCCCCAGTGAGTTGGATCTCCGTGCTGCTGTGTGGCTACGGCAGCAACATTTGTTGCGCATGCGTAAATGTAAAGGCCCCTGGTCGCATTTAGGCATCAAAGATAAGCGCCTGTCCAATAATTCCCACAGATGGGACGTTTTATTACTGAAGCCCACCAGCATAGGAAGTGGTGGGAGAGGCATTAACAATCAGCAGTACAGCCATGGATGAATACTTTATAACAACTTAATGGTACAAGTTCTTTTACCTTTTTGAACCAGGGATTAAGAATCGGAGCAAGTGAAAAACATAAAGGTCTCTCTAAATAAAATTACCAGAATAGGCAATGACAATAAATAAGTAAATTATGATAATATTTATTTATTAGAATGACAGATAAGAGTGAACTGATCACTCTGAGTACAGATGGATGGCATGCAGCAAGAGCATACAAAACTTACAGTGTACTTATCATAAATAACACAAATATGTTAGAATTTCACAAAAAACATTTAAGACAGAGATTAAAATTAAGTTTGTTCACTGGACACAAAAAATATTTGCTTGCCAAAAACAAATTAATATAGTCACAGTATTTCTCAAGTCACTGAGAGTCACTATCAGCAAACAGTGGTAACAGCATAAATCAAATGAGCTGCTGGCACAAAAAAAAAAACACACAATAAAAAAAAAATTAAACACATTACAATAATAATAACAGTCCTTTGTAAAGTCTGTTGAAATATGCTCATATTGGCTGTTTCCTCAGCCACTCAGTAAAATGTTTTATCTGCTTGAGATATTGATGTCACGCTATTTGGGATTTAGTGTGCAGCACTGAGAGGAGAGAAGCAGGTTCTGGCTATCCGAGTTTACTGTCATTTCTTTCTGGAAGTGGACAAAATACATTTCATAGGAGGGCTCAACATTTCATGACCAATAACAAACTGCACCTGCAAACTCCTCAACATTGTTTTCTAAAAACCTTTGTTAACAGAGCACCAGATCCTGTGTACCACTGCACTGAACATTAACATTTGATGCATTTAACCCCAAAACAACAGACCATTGTGACCATTATAACTGATTAAAGCAGATAAAACTTTTCGATAAGTCAAAGTACTCTGCGAAACATCTTTCGATATTTGATGTCACAGTTGTTTAAACAGATCAATGCACACAAGTACAAACAGTGAACAGAAAGTGTTTCTGTTAAATGTTAAAAGTTTGGTTTGTTGACACACCCTGCTGACATGGCTTAGCTTCTACAGATATATATAGTATGAAATTAAACATCAGTCATTAAATTATGCAGTATCACAAGTCCCTTCTGATACAGTGAAAATGAAGTTAGTCTAATCTATTTGGCATCACTTTTTAGCCTTTACATTTCAGAATCTATTCACACAATAAAAACTGTTCACACAACTCTACACTAACCATTTTTTACTCTACAATTTCTCTACTTTTTCTTTGTTTTTTACACCAGTTTTTCCATTTTAATCAAGGCCAAAATAAGTCATACAAAGATCAGAATCTGCTTCCCCTTTTTCTCTCAACACATAAATAATTAGGGAGATTTAGGGTGTTTTCACATTAGGCACAATTGTTTCATACCGTACCCAAGCATGATTGCAATCCCTCCCTCTCTCCTCCGCTTTCACATTAGTAACATCGTTCCGTGCACCCGCACACTTGCATATGTCCATAGTCCGATACAGTAGGTGGCAGTATGCACGTAGTTGGTTTGCAATCTGCCAAGAAGACATTTGTTTCTGTTCCATGCACATGTAAATACTGACAAATATTTCCATAAAACTCAGAGGTTTTGTGTGTAGTATCCAGCCGTCTTTGTATGTTTTTATTAGACCAAATTTCAAGCAAGCATTTTACTTCTTCGTTCCTTTCCAGCCATGTTATTTGACAGAGTCTAGTTATGATGTCACATAGCAGTCCACTTCCTTGTTTGAGTACAGTTGCATTCACATCTCCCGCGGACAATAACATATAAGTACGTATAATCATGCTTCAAGCGGACTGAGGCACGGTGTCCCAGTCTGGTTGTGTCCGCACTGATCAAAATGAACTGGACTTCGGGGTCAAGTGTACTCGGATCCCGCCCTGGGTCCCTAATGTGAAGCCACCCTTAAACTACTTTCAGAGGAACAACCCACCAAAAAATGTAAGAAAACTTTGCAGATGGGAAAGATTTAGGGCAGAGATTTATACAATGGCAGGGGCTTTTTTTTTTTTTTTAACTGTGAGCACCTTTGTTACGTTATAAAAATTCGTAAGACATAAAATAACCTGAATAACATTTGACAGTTAAAAAATACAACATGCACAGCACAAAGAAAGTTCTATAATTACCAATTAAATATTCAGATTATCTAGAGAATGCACATGTATAACAATAAAATGAGAGGTATATAAATCAACAAAAAGGCCTGTGACATACAGAGTGTAGAAAGTGAGCCCACAGGTAAATATATCAAAGAATAGGAGTCAACATCTGCTGTCGGCTCACAAGGTAATTAATATAAATGTAATCTGGTGAGAGTCAGCAGCTAGTCAACTGCCTCACCACTCTAACATCAGTCTGCCTCTTCAGTGACATTTCATACAAATGGGCCAATATTCAGTACACTATTCGAATACAAAAAAGAAAAAGAACACTAAATATTCCAGTGTTAAAACTAAATTTATCTGAATGAGCAGCAGTGCATGCAGATTTTCTGGTCCTGTATAAAGTAAGGCACCAGAGGTTTCCAAAATTCACTTGGTATACAGTATATACATATAAAACAACAAAAATCTTCAAGTGTATTAAAGGCAATCTATGAGAGTGCATACAACAGATACTGGATTCATGTGGTGTCTTCAGTATTCAGGCTTGAGTAGTGGTCATCTTCTGCAGCAACGGGATCTGTGGGAAAAAAGGACAGTTTATTCAACCTGGCACTGAAATGGAAACAAACCTTCAACAATTTTTCCACAAGTAAGCTGGAGCGTTTCATGATCTACATTTGCCATTCACTGTTTAAAGTTTTTCCTGAAAGCTACGCTGGCTGGTTGCTGCTATTTTTAGGCTCAGATTGGAGACAAAAGCTAAAATCCACCATCTAATGCACTAAATATATATTTTTAAAAAAGCTGTACAGCCTATTGTTGCTACATAGAGAGGACTGGAGTAAGTCAACTTTACCAGTGTTTGTTTACAATACATATCTGTCAGAAATGTGACTGAAATAAGCATGTTTTCATACACTGCTATGATACTGATGTGCAACAAAAGGAAGGAATGAGTCTTTATTTGGGTTTTCTTCCCTAAGTTAACTTTGCATGTAAGACTATCAAGGGCATATATGAAGGCAAATTTCACAGTTTTGATATGACATTACATTGCATTAAAAGGTCAGTTTAGTAGCCAAGTCTCTGAAAACAAATAACCCTGATAATGTGGGCTTGAAGACTACAGATGTTTAAGAGAAAATCTGTTACCAAATGTAGGTGTGGAGTTTTAAAAGTCATTGGTGTGTCTACTTAGGAGCACAATACCTTAACCTCTTACACTGATTTTGACCAAATTTATAAAAGTGCAATACCACATTAATACAGCAGTCTTTAATTATGTGCTGGGTGTCAGTTTTATAGTAATACTGCTACATACATTTACATAGTTCCAAATCAGTGTTTTAACCCATTCTTACCTTTGACAAATCCACTCCAGTGAGAGCCTTGACAGACACAGGAAGCTCTGCCAGAAGGCGGTTCACCTCGCCTGTCACACGGCTGCCCTCCCCGCTCAGGATGACAATCTCATTGGTCTTGGCTAATGGTGCTGCTACTTTGGAAGCAATCTGTAAAGATGTGGTTCAAGGTGTTTACTGTCAGCACAAAATAATCAAATTGAAGTCATCACTGATCATGTGATATGTATGACTCACTGGGATGAAGCAATTGTGGTGATCTCACTGTAAGACTGAGGGCTGTCATTTTCCATCACCTTAGCCACAGTTTCACATTTAGTTGTGAGAAATTGATGTTCTTCTAACCACCTTGTCTTCAGTTTAAAGGTTCTTCTAACCACCTTGTCTTCAGTTTTGAATTTAGGTTTGACAGTTGGATACTGCTATTAAAAGGAAGCATTATGTGTAAAACACAGCCAAGCTAGCTTCTAGTGGTTCAGTGGGTAGAACAGTCATCTCCCAACCGGAAGGTTGAAGGTTCGAATCTCGGGGCCTGCAGTCCACATGTTGAAGCGTCCTTGGGCAAGACACTGAACCCCCAAGTTGCCCGTGATGGCGCCGTGTATGCACGCAGCGGTCCAGGGCCCTTGGCTCCAAGCAAAGTTTCTTTGTATGTGTTACATTGAAAATAAAGCTTCCTCTTCTTCTAGTTTCTTAAATGGTATGGGCAGTCAATATTAGGTGAGAGAAATGGTATTTCAATTTTTCTGTGTGTCCTGCACATATAGTGAATTGACAATAAAAAATCTTTGATCTTGATCTTAAAGAGAAACAAGCATACCATAGCTTTAAAGTGATGGCAGGCAGGTTTATTACAAGTAGAGAGTGCCAGGCTTGTAGTCTCCCCCACTAAGCTAATAGTCTTCATGTTTGACAAACAATTATGAGTGTTGAGTGTAGTAACTGATGAATATTTTTTCAACTGATGTATTCACTTCACAAAAAATGTTCCTAGAAAGAGAATCATGCACTAATCTATCACTGGCTGCTTCTTGTAAACAGCTGTGCATGAACAAACTAGTGAATGATAAATAAAAGTTTTCTTGTGCCAAACTGCAGGTGTTTAACAAAGGTAGACAGAAGCTTTGAAGAACCTCTATGTTTTACCTTTGGCAGCGCTTCGAGGACCAGCGCAGTCTTCGCTGCATCGCCATACTGCTGGTAAGCCTCTGCCTTCAGTCTCATCTTCTCAGCCTCCGCTTTGCCCACCGCTTCGATGGAACAAGCCTCTGCCTCACCAATCTTCCTGATCTTCTCTGCCTCAGCCTGGGCTATCAGCACTGCCTTCATCCTGGTGTAAAGGAAAATGTGAGTTAAAATAGGTGGTATCTGACATGTAAATCATGTTTCACTACAATCTAAGAAATTTTCTGATGGCATTACTTAATGCAACAAGTATTTAGTAGCCAAAACAGGAAAATGTGGCATGGTGAGTACTCTGCTGACACAAGTTGGAAAAACTTGTCTCAGGCCTGAATGACAGACCTCCTCCACTCCAGTTAGCTTTCTAAGCATTGCTATGAATCAACTACAGGGCTCCGGGACACAAGAGTACAAGAGGAGTGTGGCGTGTGGAATGTTGGCGACGCTTGTGTTAGTTTGCTCAGTGACTACGCAATTTCTACTAACTAGTGATTGTGGCTGAAAAAGCTCCTGACAGGTTCTCACTCACTTCTGCCCCTCAGCCAGCTGCTCTATCTTGTAGGCCTCAGCTTCAGCGGGCCTCTTGACTGTGGCAATGAGCTCCTTGTCTGTCCGGGCAATCTCCTTCTCTTCAATGGTGATCTCTTTCTTCCTCTGCACCACCTGGATCTCAATCTCTTCCAGGCGGATTTTTTGCTGTTCCTTGGCTGCCTGCAGCTCATACGCCAGCTGGGCTTCTGCTTTCTGAAAACATCAGCACATGGAGTGATGTTTCTAAAGCACACACACACCTGAGGTAATACACATTTTGTTTGAAACATGGTTGAAATACAGTTGGTTCTTTTTGTTTGCCCTTAAAGCTCCACTCCAGAAACATTTTAATATTTATATTTGCGTATAAAATACTCTTCTCTAAACAGTGTATAGTCTTTCCTCAAAAATGTTCAGTGAACCTCTGTAATAGGCCTCAACATCTGTTCCTCATTGTTCATTCCAGGGTCTATGAATATGTGCTCTCAGCATCCCCACAAAAACCGGCGAACTCACTGTATTGGGATGAGATGCGGGAGTGAAAACTTAAGAGATGTAGCAGTTTATGTTTGAGCCTCATTCACCCATTATATAGTAACACTCTACTCTACTCTATTTATTTTCTCAGTTGGTCCAACAGATAATCAATCAGCAAGCTGTTTGCACGCAGTTCGACTACTAATACTGTAGCTCTAATGAGCCAAACGCAGTGTTTTAATTTGCTGTTGATACTCCAGCATGTCTACTACTGTCCCATAAAGTTTGATAGTATATTAGTATCTTTATATTTTCTTACATGATCCAAAACTGTGTTAGCAGCAGCCAAACATAACTGTTAATATTACATTCCAACAATGGTACACGTCTCCGTTAGCATGAGGTTAACTGTTAGCTTTAGCAGTGAGCCAAACGTCATTTTACACTAGTTGTTAAACACTGTTAACTAGTTGCAAGCCTCATACCATCTCATAACATTTGACAGCATATCATTCATTATCTCTTCATTTTTTAAGTTGATCTAAAAGTTAATCTAGTAATGTTAATGCTATGTTAACAGAATCCTGGGAGTTTGTGTTGATAGCAGCTAGCTAACTGCAGCACTCAGGCTGCTACCAGAAGCCAAAACGGTAGCTAACGAACTCTTTTAAAATCTATATAAAACTTCTAAAAAGTTTATACGCTCTCTCTTTATTGAGTCAGCTTCAGTGTTATTATTATTATTATTATCCTTATGGTTTCAGAATGGCTTTAGACCTTGTATGTAGTGATGTTTAAAGATGTATATGCTGGTTATTACATAAACTACAATACAATTAGTTTAAACATAGTTAATTCCTCAAAAGAAAATCAATGATGATTGATAATTAACATTAAATTACTGACATTTTCAGACAGTTGCATCAGAAAACACTTTAAAAAATAGTCAGCTAATTACTCATTACATCATATACACTGTAATTTGAGTATCCTATTTTGGAAAATAACTTGTCAGTTAAACACTGTGCAATGCAAACATGGTCATAAGTGGCCAGTGTCACAGCTTTTATGGGTTACTTCAAACAAAACTTTACACTTCCTCAAAGAGCGAGAGTATACTGGTTCCTAAAACCTCTCAGTAGAGTAGCATCTGAGGGTCTAAGGAAGGAGCTGCCTATAACTGCAGGTTATTCTGGAGGGTTTGGGGTCTTGTCCTGAATTAATAACGTGAGAGGGAGGAATGCAGGGAACTCTGTTTGCAGGTTAATGGTAGTCAATTACTGAGTGAGTATCTCCACCAGAAAACCTCAAGCAGTGTTTGAACCTTTAATATGTTTCAAATATTCCACCTTATTATGAGAAGTTGAGCTGTGTTCCTATGTCCAGGGGTTAGCATATCGTGGCCTTCAGACAAGGGCAAATTATACTTTGCCTGCCCTTGTGCCCATTAGTCTAGTGATGCAATTTTCGCCATACTTCCCAGTCTGCAAGGGTCTGTGAGGATGGTAGGCCAACAATTGTGACTGCGCTAACTGTCAACTCAACAAAAAGCCCTAACTGCGCATGTATCACAATGCTGATGTTTGAAAAACCATCCGCAGTCCCTCAAATCAAAGTATGAAAAAGGTACACACGAGGGCATGTTCAAAGTCTGATTAGTCCTTTACTGATCACCCTGAACTCTGGTGCCCACCTTAGTGTTAACTTCCTGGTTGAAAGAAGCCTTCTGCAGCTCTAATTCTCGTTTTGAGTCAGCCATCTTGGTGTCAGCCTGGAATTTGACGTCCATCATCTCCTTCTTACAATCTGCTTCCTAGGAGATGATAAAGACGTGCAGCAGTGATCAGCTGGTTGTTGTGCAAAATGGAATCCACTTCTTAGAATCTCCCACCTGCTAGCATCCTTACCCGTATCCCAGCATCCCTCTCTGCCTCAGCCACGCCAATGTCAGCATCCCTTTGGACAGCAGCAGTCTGGGTCTTCCCAAGGGAGCTCAGGTAATCTAGTTTATCGTAGACATCCTGTAAACACAAGAACAAACAGGTCAACCTATGAGCTACAGAGCTCAAGCTCCCTGTAAACATGGAAGCACAGAAAACTGAAGTACGACCTGCAAGAGTTTTTAAATGGAAGAACACAGCAATCTTTTCCAACATGGAGGAGATGAGTGTCTAACACAATACATTTGTTCAATTTGTCAAAATCCAATTTTAGCAGCAGCAGCCTGAGTTGCTATCTCTTATCATTTTCCTTTGGTATTATGGGTCCAGTAATCTTATTTTTTTAATGGCTTTGCTTCTGTTAGTTTAGCTTTAATGTTGACTTAGGTTTAGGGGCAGTGCTGTGAAAACCCAGAGCATTTCTGGGGGTCCTAACACCTGAACTGGAGAGTTCACAACTCCACAGGGGGAGTCTCCTGCCAGCCAGTCATTAGAGATGACTTTTCTAATAAGCAGCAGCCTCCAGAGCAAATACAACATGTTCAAAAAATTGTGTTTAAATTATGGTAATGTTCAAATACAAAACTACATAGATTACAAACAAGACAGGGTGACTAATGTTTCTAGGACTTCTACAGTAGTGCTTATGTGTATTTCCCATATGTCAAGCTCTTAATGGCAGTTCATGTGTCATGCACAAATGGATACGATCATAATGATGCACTTCTGTGGGCGCATTAGACTCATCTATTACAAAACAAACAGAAACCAATGGGATCATTTTTCAGAAGAGACAACTGGAGCACACTAATTGACTTGCTGCCTGTAATGGTGCAAACAAATTAGACTGCTGTGTTTTTTGAGTCAAACAGAACAAAGGCATAAAACAAACCCATATATAGTTAATCGCCAACAGACTGTGCAGTTGCTATTGGACAACAGAGGACTGCCAGAGCCCATGTCCAGAAATCACATATCTTGACACCAATACATATGCAAAGACACATGCAAAGTCATTAATTGTTTAAAAAGTAAGCCATAAGATGGTCTTATTTGGCTAACATCATCATTTATTTAAAGCATGACTGTGTTCAGGGTGTGAGTCCAATATGCCTCTATACGTAGCAGTGTATTCACAATGTCACCACATCTAGCAGAAGGTGAAATCTTTTCAATACCCCAAAATGTGAGTGAGGCAGCAGAACCACGGTTTGCCTGTACAGTGTTGGGCCACACCATATTTTATTTTAATATGCCGTTTTTTCTTTGTATTGGAGATTATGTCATGACAGAACCACTGAACTGCAATATTTTGACCTTTGTTTGCTCTGTAGTTACATTAACATTGTCATTATCATTGCTCTTACTGACAGACAACCAGCCATTGTTTCAGTAGCTTCTCCCAGCACCTTAAACCCACCTTAATGGTAAAGCTGAGAATCTCGATGCCCATCCTGCCCACATCAGGAGCCGCTACCTCCCTCACCAGCTTAGCAAACTGGTCCCTGTCCTGATAGATTTGCTCTACAGTTAAAGTACCTGCAAAAGAGAGGCAAAATGTCACTCTTCACTCACTAACTAGATTTCAGCTTGAATGTTTACACTTTTTATTTTGAGCAGAATTTCTTGGGTTTACATAAAATGAGTACAGCAGAATTTTCTTGACTTACAGATACATCTGTAATGTTTTATATAAATTGGCATAAATATCACACAGTTTTCTTGTGGTTAACAATATGTGTGGCAGATGTTTTTAAATTAATTTATTCAAAAGGGCAACTAATGTGATAAACAGTTAACTGTTTAAGTCATTTTTGACAATCCTCTTCATTGCAAAGATTTGCTTCATTTCTGTTTTTAGGTTTGGAAGTGTTGAACAAAACAAGAAATTCAAAATGTTTCCCTGGATTTAATATAATCAGCAAATGCAGCTGCAGTCTAAATTGATTATTATAAATTATTTACATTGGTTTTTAAGAAAACAGTCAGAAGCAGCTTTATTTTGTCATTGTAACATTGTGACACATACAATGACATTTTGTTTGGAGCCGAGGGTCCCGGGCCACTGCGTGCATACGTGCCGCCATCACGGGCAACTTGGGGGTTCAGTGTCTTGCCCAAGGACACTTCGACATGTGGAGGCAGGCACCGTCCTAATTTGAAAAACATACCTAGAATGGAGCGCAGATGTCCCTCCAAAGTCTGCAGAACCACAGCTTTGATTTCCATCACTGATTTACCCAGAAACTGCTCACAAGCTACTGCCAGTAAATCTTGCTCGGTCATGACTTTCACCTGAAGAAGACAGTGACGTCAGCTCATGTGCATCAAACTCTCCATGTCCAGCTGCAGAGTTTGTGATGTGGCCTGTTCTCAAAATACCACCATAGCAGTGCATTTAAGCAACAAAGAAAAAAATTGATCGCTTTAGTGGTGATATGGTGAACTTTGATTTGATGATGCAACTTACAATCTGAAGGCATGTAGAGATCTGATGATGCAACTTACAATCTGAAGGCAAAGAAAATCTCAGAAATGTTAAGTAAACAGGTGTTGATTATGGAGAGGGTCTGCTTTCAGAAATATCATCTATTTCTGTTATTTACTCCCATCTTTCAATGGAGAAGTAAACCTACCAGCAGCATTAGCCATTTTTGTCAAGTCTCTTTTATGCATGCACCACTGGAACCAAATGAGATAAATGATAAGGGCTGAATATTGCTCATTTCTAACTTCTTAGCTTTTTCTTGTTTGGAATGGTGACAGACAGGTTGATAGATGATTCAGACTATTATATCCACAGATGGCTGTTTTCTGTGGTGAGAGTAGGGAGCAGGTTGAGATGAGCCTGTAGGGGTTGAGATATTTGCTGGAGAGAAGAGGAATGGAAGTCGGTAGGAGCAAAATGAAGTATGTGCTCGTGAATAAGAGGGAGTGTGGCGGAATGATGCGACTGTAAGGAGCAGAGGTCGTGACAGTAAGTTGAAATAGTACAATTTTTGCTGGGAGTGGTGAAGATGGACAGGAAGAGATGGACAGACAGGTGGTGTAGAGACAAAGTGAGAAGGGTAAGACTGAAATGGTTTGGGAATGTGGAGAGGAGGGGTGTGGGATATACAGTCATGTGAAAAAATTAGGACACCCTTTGAAAGCATGTGTATTTTGTAACATGTTTTAATATATGGTTATTTAATCTCAATTTTAACAATACAGAGAGATTAAAGTAATACAACTAAACAAGTAAAACTGAAGAAAAGTCTTTTCAAGATCTTCTGTAAATGTAATTCTACAAAAATGCCTATTCCAACTGAGGAAAAAGTTAGCACACCCTCACATGTATGCCCTCTTAAAATGGCTCAAATCACACACAGGTATATCACACCAGGTGCACATAATTAGTAGATCGTTACTCAGCATTTTGAATGAGGCTTGCCCCATCTAAACCTCAAACATTTAGTTTGGTGTGCTCCTGACTGTTGAAGTGAGAGTGAGCACCATGGTGAGAGCAAAAGAGCTGTCAGAGGCCTTCAGAAAAAACATTGTAGCAGCCTATGAGTCTGGTAAAGGATTTAAAAAGATCTCAAAAGATTTTGAAATCAGCCATTCCACTGTCCGGAAGATAGTCTACAAGTGGAGGGCTTTCAAAACAACTGCCAACATGCCCAGGTCTGGTCGCCCCAGCAAGTTCACACCAAGAGCAGACCGCAAGATGCTAAAAGAGGTCTCCAAAAACCCTAAAATGTCATCTCGAGACCTACAGCAGGCTCTGGCTACTGTTGATGTAGAAGTGCATGCCTCTACAATCAGAAAGAGACTGCACAAGTTTAACTTGCATGGGAGGCGTGCAAGGAGGAAACCTTTGCTCTCTAAGAGAAACATCAAGGCCAGACTGACATTTGCCAGAGAGAATGTTGACAAAGACCAGGACTTCTGGAATAATGTTCGTTGGACAGATGAGTCCAAAATTGAATTATTTGGACACCAGAGCAGAGGACATGTTTGGCATAAACCAAACACAGCATTCCAGGAAAAGAACCTCATACCAACTGTGAAGCATGGAGGTGGAAGTGTCATGGTTTGGGGCTGCTTTGCTGCAGCAGGACCTGGTCAGCTCACCATCATAGAATCCACCATGAATTCTACTGTGTATCAGAAGGTGCTTGAAGAACATGTGAGACCATCGGTTAGAAAATTAAAGCTGAAGCGGAACTGGACCATGCAACATGACAATGACCCAAAACATACTAGTAAATCAACCAAAGACTGGCTGAAAAAGAAGAAATGGAGAGTCCTGGAATGGCAGAGTCAAAGTCCAGACCTGAATCCCATTGAGATGCTGTGGGGTGACTTGAAAAGGGCTGTACATGCAAGAAACCCCTCAAACATCTCACAGCTGAAACAATTCTGCATTGAGGAGTGGGATAAAATTCCCTCAGACCGATGTCAGAGACTATTAGATGGCTACAAGAACCGTCTCACTGCAGTTATTTCAGCCAAAGGAGGTAACACTAGCTATTAGGGGCTAGGGTGTGCTAACTTTTTCCTCAGTTGGAATAGGCATTTTTGTAGAATTACATTTACAGAAGATCTTGAAAAGACTTTTCTTCAGTTTTACTTGTTTAGTTGTATTACTTTAATCTCTCTGTATTGTTAAAATTGAGATTAAATAACCATATATTTAAACATGTTACAAAATACACATGCTTTCAAAGGGTGTCCTAATTTTTTCACATGACTGTAACTGGTGAAGAATACAGAGGACAGAGCTGCCAGGCAGAAGGAGGAGAGGGAGGAGGTTTATGGATGTAGTGAGAGAAGTGGTTGGTGTGACAGGAAATGATGATCAGCTCGTAACCCTTAATGGGAGTGGCAGAATAAAGAAAACGATACTAGATTTGGTACTAAGCTCACAGATGCCTCACTTAACAAACAAACATCAGTTTATAAAAGCACTTTTTTCATTTACCAAAAGAAGCCAAATGTTTAAAGTTTGGGCACAAGTAGCCTAAATAAAGAAGCCTAAACTGATCAGGAACTATCTGATCAAAAACAAGACAAACAATCTGAGGTGACATCCGTCTCCAGCTTTTGGACTGTTGATATTCTATGTTAGGGACACATCGGTGTAAGTAATTAAAAAACTCTGATACAGAGACAGCACTGGATCATACCTGAGCCACCCCAGTGACAGTGATGGCGACCCCCTCTGCTGTCTCCACATCCTCACATCGCGGCTGCAGGGTCATGATCTCCAGGGTCATCCTGCAACGAGGAACACAAGACTGTGGAATAATGGAATTAAATCTGCATGTTCCACACAGACAAGTGACAAAGCATGTGCGTTGTACTTCTGTAGAGATCCTGTACTGTTTTACTTATTAAACTGTAATATAAAAAGTAGTAACTGTAATATAATAAGATGATCAGTGTGATCGTTATCATTGTTTACCTCTGGCCTATAGAGCACTAAAGTAACTACATCAACAGAGGAGATTGGTCCCTGAAGAGTTTTTTTTCCGTTCACGGTGAACCACACAATGCAAGTCTAACAGTATATGAATACCCAACAGTTAGCAGATAATACATATTCTTTATTTTATGTTATGCTGTAAAACAAGAAACCGTCTGAGAGAGTTGATTGCACCAGTGTTAGGCTGGATCCCGGCAAGGATGGAAGTTAACTGATCCCTGAAAAAGGCCTGTTTTATATGACATTTACATACATTTGTAGTTTTTTGGTGACTTTTTTGTTTGTTTTACCACTGGCAGTTTGCTACTTAGCTTTGTACCATATAAGATAACTCACTGAACTTTAACCATTTAAATGTCCAAATCAAAACCAGGGCAATGGACATGTTCTTGAATGTTTGACCAGTAATTTGGGTAATGGACTATTTCACAGTCTCCACTGTGACTTCTTACACAGTGCTGTGGAATATAAAAGTGCCATGATAAAATGTTTGATGTCCTAGAAGAGGAACTAACTTGAGAACTGCATGTGTCTTGTGACAGTGCACATAGTATAAGAGCCGTGCACATTCAGCAGTGGAGCACATGACACGGCTTAGAAGAGTGGGAATGTAATGTGACAATGAAAAGGATGTTTGAACCAGTTGTACGCTGTGTGTAACATGAAACAGAGCAGCTTACTGGCTGCCAGCAATTAATGGGACAGACTTCCCTGTGGAAATTTAAGTCAGCAAAGCTCATTTCAGCAGTGGGCTGTTTAAAAACCTTGGTCATTTTATTTAAATGAGTTGGAAAAGCAGGCTTTTATAACATAATCCTCTGTGATGAGCAGCACAGGCTGGCACAAAGGCTGTTACAGGAGCAAATAAAAAGCCATTTCGAGATAACATGCTGCACTGCTTTTACTACGTTGTCACCTTTGAGTGTCTGAGATGAGCCACCAGGCCCAGGCCCAGCCTCCCACAACATAAGTCTTCGCATCAGAGCCACAACAAGCACCTGAGGAAAGAGGAAAGATTCCATCAAAACACGACTTCCTCTTCAATAATCAGCCACTAAAACCTTTGAATCAAGGAACATGTTGATATTGAAAATGTAGAAAAGTCACAACAAGGCCTAGCCCAGCTTCGAACTCCTACTTTATAGGAGACGGTGTGGGGGGGGGGGGGGCGCACACATGTTGTCCGGGGGCAGGCCTCTGGTTTATTCAATATTTAACTTTGTTCTCAAGAGCAGCACTAAACTAAACCTGTTATCTGTTAGCTAAGGCATTTTCTTGTGTTTGCTTTGCACGATAGATATACCTGAAATTACTTTTCAGCAAGTCAGTGTTCGGGCGGGGTCCACCCTGGACAGATCACAAGTCTGTCATTGGGCTGACATGTAGACAAACAGCCACACACACTCACACTCACTCCTACGAGCATCTTAGAGTCACCAACCAACCTAAGCTGCATGTCTTTGGACTGTGGGAGGAAGCCAGAGTACCTGGAGAGAACCCACGCAGGCACAGGGAGAACATGCAGATTCCACACAGAAAGACCCCGGGTCTAACCACTGCACTGCTGTTTGAAAAGCATAAACTAACAACTGATTGAGCAAAATTCATGCTAACTTATTTATGACATTTGCTACGACACTTTACACAGTAAAGGTAAAATAAAAAGTATGCACTATTTGTGACAGTAAACCATACTGTTCTCACAAAATTTGCATATTAATATTGGGGCAGTAATACAGTGGCAGTCCAGTTGCCTTGTATCTGTTCTGCTGTTGTGGGGTGGCACCTGCCCTGGAGAGGGAGCGGCATAACACTTAAGAATTGGCAAGTGCCATTACAGAATCAGTATATGCCACTAGGGGAATGTGGTAACATCATGCCAAATGCCACTTTCTGATCTTGGCGCTATCTTCCCATTTATATCATGGAGGACCTGTACACCTCACGGGTCAAAAGGAAGGTGGAGAGGATCACTGCAGACCCCTCACACCCTGGACACAATCTGTTTGAACACCTCCCCTCTGGACAGCACTACAGGTCACTGTGCACTAAGACAACCTGGCACAGGGACAGTTTCTTCCCCCAGGCTGTCAGTCTGATGAACACTTAACCAGTGACTGTATGACTGAACACAGCAGTTACCACAGTGCAATAAACTGTAAATATACATTGTATACATTAGTCTGAATGCCCTTCTGCCATGATACTTATATTTATAAATCCAGTCTTTATACCCCTCACATTTCCTACTTGAATGCAGTTTCTTATTTTATGCCCTTTATCTGCTAATTTTGCATTGTTTGCCCTGTTTGTTCCTTGTTAATACTGCTTATTTTGTTATATTACACAGCCTTATGCTGGTTTACTGTTTACTTGTATGGGGATATGTACATACACATTGAGAGATGAGGTGAGATGTACCAGAGTCAAATTCCTCGTGTGTCCAACACACCTGGCCAATAAATCAGATTCTGATATCAGTGAGGCTAGGCTAGGCTAACAGAGACACTTCCCGTTATATTTAATCACATTGACCTTTTTAATTGGAGTGGCCTGTGCTCACTGACGATGCACAGAGCACATTAAACGAGACTGTATCGGTACCATTACATCTTATTTTTCAAAACCGAAGCTTTTCATTCACATGACCCAACTTTACGTTAACGCCACATTACAGTCTTACTAACGATGTTATTATTACTGCTAGCTGAGCTACGATAACCCGTTATTAACGTTAATAACACCGTTTTACACAGTAGCTATGTTATAATTTCAGCAGATATTTACTAATAGTTTTACGACAGACAACAGCGAGTTAAACGTGGCTTTCTTTCCAAGTTGGCACCTGTTATCAGCTATCTTATCATTTAAACGTTAGCTGCGGTTTCAGCGCGACGTAGCACCGTGAAAAGAGGCACACCTACCGGAGACCACCAGAGCTTCATTTGGCCCCACTGTCAAACAGTTTCCCATGTTGACTCAAGGCAGCAAAAGGAAACAAACTACCGAGCAGTGGTATACAGACGGTGTCAGTTGTTTATTCCGAGTCTCAACGGTTTAAATGTGATTTCACGTCCCGAACGACGACAGCAGCAACAACAACAGCCCCCGCTCCACCTAACGACGCCGGACTGACGTAACGTGTCAACGTGGGGGCTACGGAGGAGGGGCCGCTAAAATAAATACAATAAATAACGTACAAATTACAGTAACGCCCAGCAGAAACATAAGTGGCGGCAGTATCTCGCAATTACGTTTTACTATTCCATAATTATGTGAACCGTACTCGTAAATTACGTCAGTGTTTCTCGTAATTATGAAAAGAGATCTGGTAACAGCTTAGCCCACACTTATGTTTTTAAATATTTCTTAAGTATTCATATAATTCAGTGCATTAAATTGTGCGTAACAAAATGATTTGTTAATAGTTAATTCGGCGTTGTTCATTTTATAAAATAAACAGATATATTGGATAAAATCAGCGCCCACGGTACAGCATCCATATGGCACATTAGGCTGTTTCCTGTTTCGTCTGTTCGCAAGAGTGAAGACTTTTAACGTTTACTACTGTAGTTTAAAAACAATTTGAGAGTAATATATCATACTAATTTTTAGTGTACAATATATCTTGACTTGCTTTTGAAGCCTGCTGATTGTCCAGGTTTTTGTCAAGAAGGAAAAGGAGTAAATATAACATTTTCTTTGTTGTAGCACCATGCTTGATTTATTTTACCCTGCAGGTGTGCATTCAGTAATTAAATCCAAGTCCAAACTGATTTTTTTCCTCAGACAAAAAGTAAATGAAATGTTATGAAGTGTTGCAGTTATTGCATGTGTAGCAGTGAGTTTATCAGATCAGTCTTCACCTCTAGTTTGGACTGTGAGTGTGGAACAGAGAGGAGGAACGATCAGAGGATCTGGGGAGATCAGAGATCTTTGTTTTATTTGTATTTGCCCTTCCATTATTACCTCCACCAAGGCAGGAGTAATGTTAAACCGGCATTTGTTTGTTTGTTTGTTTGCTTGTTTGATTGTCGGATTGTTCACAGCATCAAAGAGTCTTGAATGCATTTGGATGAAATGTTTTGGAGAGGTACAGTGCATTACATTTTGTTGCTGATATGAATCATGGTCCAGATCCAGGAATTTTTAAAAATGATTCTTCATGATTCTTCACCATTGGCAGAGAGCCAATTTTGATATTTTTTGCTTCTATATTTATATACAGTGTCTACAATATGTGGACAAAAATTACACCACGTAAGATCTTCCACACACCAAAATCTGATCCGGACCAAGTCATATTCTGAATCAGCTGATCCAGAATGTTCAAATTTATAGGGCTCACAGAAAACTGGCTACCATGAGACAACAAATAATGTCGCAGACTTACAACTAATATCAAATTCTAGATGAAACTCTGACTGAGCAGATGTCAACAGATTTGACATTTCTTTAAAAGTTAAGCCTCTTTTCCACCGCCTGGTACCAACTAATCTCAACTCGACTCGACTCACCTTATTTGTTTTTCCATCAGTCAAATGGTGGGAATAGTACCTGGTACTATTTTTGGTATCACCTCCGTCGAGGTTCCAGGCGAGCTGAGGCGATACCAAATGATGATGTATAAACACCAGACTAGCAATGAACAAAGGAAGTGCCCTTTTTAAAAGCGTCATTATTTAACGCTAACCACTACTTTACTGTACTAACTAAAAACAGCCACATACTGAGAATCAAGGCAGGCAGACCTTCGATGTCCTCCACTGTTACTGTGTTGAGTGCTGCCGATGTCACAGCAATGTAATGCAGAGTTGCTGTGACAACCAACTACACTGAGAGGGGACCATCTGCAGTGGAAAACCAAGCACCAGCTACCAAAAGCAAGTAGAGTCGAGTCAAGTCAAGTTGATCAGGTACCAGGAGAGAGAAAAGGGGCTTTACTTAGCTAGATCCTGAAGAAACTACCATTACTGAAGTGTAATGGTACTAATAACGATATCAGTGTGGTTCCAAATGCCAGGGGTAGATTTTTATGGCGATGGGATCATATTATCAGTGTCAAACTATCATGGTAATGTTGCTTTTAGGTAGAATGACATTATAGGAAAACTGAGTTGCATTGGTGGAAGTTCTGTGTTGGCCCTGCAGCTGTCCTCTTATTCCTCCTCTCCTCTTCCTCCTGCTCCTCCTCCTTCTCTCCATCCCCCTGCTGCTCTGTTTTGTCATGCTCTTCCTTCTCTGTGGCAGCCCTCTCAACCACTTCGTGCTTGTTGGGATTTCTTCCTTCCTCACAGATGGAGGAGGAAGAGGCAGAGCCTATAAGTGCACTGGTTGTTGGCACAGCGAAGAAGGTGATGACTCCAATGATTATGACCACCAGTGACACTAGGTAGAGTCCAGAGAACTGAGGTGAAGCAGAAAGCAGACAGTTGTTATCTGAACAGAGGCGATGCTGATGCAGAAACAGAGCATTAATATACTGTATGAGAGGGGATCCTGATATAAGAAAATAATGATCAAGGTGGATGTGAAAAATGCTGTGATGCTAAGTGGACAGTTGATTCCTTTGCTCGGTTTACTAGCAACATCAGGCAGAGTGGGGGTTTTTTAAAGGCGTATTAACTACGATTTTCTACAGTGTTTGATAAGTCCAGTGACAGTGGGATGGGATGTGATGTCTCTCAGCTCTTAGAAGAAGGGTTTTTCCATCCGCCAGTAGTTCTGACAAACAGCTCTGGGCAGCTAAAAGTCTAAACCAGCGGCTGCCAGAGTGAAGAGGTGGCGTCTTTTGCACACAGAGAGAGTGGGACAAAGAGGGTTAAAAGCAGCCAGAGGACTCAGACTGGATCCAGATGTGGCGCTCTTCCTGTTAGTCAGCTAATGCTAGCTCCAGACTGGAGGCTGCATTTTGTACAGCTTGTCCCAAACAAGCATCCGTAGTTTATGCCTTTGCTAGGAAACAGGACATGATCGGAGGGTACGAGAGCAATTGGGAGTGGCCGATGGTGTCACTTTGTTCTGAGGACAGAGCAGGATTTTCATACTTTGTGTTGTTACAAACATAAAAACCAGAATGAGGCACCAGAGCCCTGAATACGAGTAGCAGCAAACAGCACAACAATGCTATAATAACATTAACTGTGTGAGGAGGCTTCTGGGCTTTTAAAGTTGTCAGTTGATGTTTTACTTCTCTGTACCTGTGGAGCTAACTTTGTATAGCTATACAGTAGCTCAGTTTAGCATCATTACTGCTACCTTCTGCTGTTTCTCACTTATAGTGTATAGCTGTCTGTCAGAGTAGGGATGCACTGTAGTTAAAAAAAAGGATGTGTGTTGCACAGAAATTCATCCTTGCCTTGCACACCTTTTAAAAACAAAAAACAGCAATTTAACTGTGAAAACGTGCACATATATAAGTCACTGTGACACTGTGGAAATGTGTTTTTAATCCCAATACTGCATGTACATTCTGGATTGTTTGTAACAGTTTTTGGACAACAATTGATCTCTGTGACATAGTGATTAGATATATCAGGCTTCAGAAACACACACAATACTTGTTAGCAGGAGAGATTAATTCACTGGTTTGGTGTTTTTATGGGATTTACTGTGTGTGTGTGTGTGTGTCCACTCACATTGTACTGGAAGAGATACATCCCACAGAAGAGGCTGAAGAGGTCAGAGGTGAGCAGAGAGAGGTTGACAGAGGTGGCACTGCTCATCTTTATCACTAAGGGCATACAGCTGTACAGAGTGTACATACACAGCGCATAAGCAGAGAACAGGAGCCCTAAAATGAGAGACGCCAAGGTGTAAATTCAGAGTGACAATTAACATGTCAAAGAAAATACCATCTTAACCAGTGTCACTTGAGAAGAATTTCCTCTGGATGTCCAGCACAGAAATGTGGGACGTTTTATACCACAAAGATAGCAAACTGTTGTGAACTCTGTCAACTTTAGATCTATTGTATTTATTCACTCTATATTCTGTACCATGGATGAATTATGAGAAGGAAAAAGGCCTCCCACTCTTCCTACACAGGACCCCAGACTGTCTGGGTGGTTGTTTTGAGTTATTTTACACAGACTGCATCATTTGTAGTTGTTTTGTGCCTCTAAGTCATTTTGCATATCTTTGTGAGCATTTTGTGAAACAGCTCCGTGTCTTTCAAACAAGAACTATTAACAGTCACCTCAAACAGAGGTTTTGGTGCCTGTTCCATTCTGTATTGTAAAAATGTGCAGATACATGTACAGAAGGTGTATAAATAGATATATTGTGATTTAAAAAGTAGTTAGTTGATGCTTTTTACAACAAGGGAAACTGCTGATTAACTTTTTAAGTTAACCAGGAGAATAGCTGAGACTACAAAGAAGGTTTTAGGCACTTTGTATTTGAACCTATCATCATACAGCACTCAAATGAACCAAGAGAGCTGAAATATTTGCATAGTCATCTTATCCTGTCTTGAGGAGGTTTAATCTTCAGTACTGACCGACTTGCCACCTCCACTGAATGACAGAAACTTCATTATATTCCAGAACCACCCTAGGTGAAGGAAAAACAACAACACATTACTAACATATTGAATGAGTCCTAAGACTGATCACCCCAATGTGTACCCACATCTGTATGGTGCTGATGATGGTGCTGAACAGGCCGACCATGCCCAGGAACTCCACTCTGCTCCGGTTCTTCACTGTGTATTCCTGACACACATTAGACACAGCATACAGCGTCGCACTGAGCAGCACCAGGCCATCACCTAACAGGATGTTTGTAGCTGAGGAGAGCAGAGACATACAGTATGATCACTGTTGTCCAGCACTACTAAAATAACACTGACAACTACTTAGTTGGTCTGAAACTGACACTGATGCGCTGATGTTTGCCACCTGGGCCCCGAAAACTGCTGAAGGTGAAATTTTGGATTTAAGTGACAGATGAAAGTAATGCAAAAGCATTTGTGTATTTTTTGAAAGGTAATGTTCTTTGTGTTGCATTTTTAGTTTCTTAAGTAACAAATTATGTGTGACATAAACAAATAGTCTCCAAATATATACAGGAGGAAATTGGACAATATGGTTGACCCTCATAATATGATTCTTTGACTATGAAACCCTACCCCTAGCATTTGGAATCACATTGATATCATTAGTAGTTTGAAGATTACTCAAGAAACGTGATCATTTGATATTATGATGGTTTTCTTCAGGATCTAGCTCAGTAACTGTTGACGATATATCAAATCTGTTGACACCCTACTGAATAAGTGTTTCCGCTAGAATTTGATTTAAGTTCCATGTCTGCAGCGTTATATGTTGTCTAAGTTTGAACATTTTGGATCAGTGTGTCTGGACTATGACTTGGATCCAGATGGGACTTTGGTGTGTGGTAGATGTTATGGGGATGTTATCTTGCGATTTTTATCCATATATTCTAGGTATTGTATATGAAGTTAGAAGCAAAAATATTGTAATTGGCCCTATCTCACGATGGTGAAGAATCCTTTAAAAAATTTCGGGATTGGGATGATGATCTGGATCAGGCATACCCTACCTCTCCCAAAAATATCTTATCCATATCCACCGTTACTTTTTGAGCTATATTTTTGAGACATAACCTCTGCCTTGGCGGAGGTAATAAAAGGAATCTAGTATGACAAAGGAGATGAATGGAAAGTAAGTGTGAACACTGTCAGACTTAAAATGGACAGTTTAAAAGAAAAAGGATCTAAATCAATGCAGCAGAAACATTCTTCTTATTTGTCAAAACCTGGCGCTTAGATTACCCACAATGCAACTCGATTGCCAACAGTTTGGTCAGAGATTCAGGTGTGCTTCTCTAATAGCAGCTAATGTAGCCTGCAGCAGAGAAAAGGAGTAGCATTCCAACTCCATATCCCCACAGTTTTTTTTTACTTTTGAGACTTCAGACTCAATTGAGGCTGACTCAAATTAATCCACTTGCAGACTAAAGAAAGTCACTTTGTGTGTTATTGCTCACACCCAGCCTTGGTACTTTACAGCCTTTTTGTGTGTAAAATTAGCCCGATACAAAAGTAAAGGTGAAGGATTTCACAGTTTGACAAATACAGGCCTTGATCACAGAATTATTGCTTAAACAAATGACAGGTGGGTGCATTCATGAGCTCAGAGACTAATTAAACATTTTAGTTCTTACTGGAGCCCTGGTCACGTCTAGCTAGCAGGTCAGCCACCACCATGGCCCCCACCCCAAGGAGACAGATGCAGACGGCTCCATAGTGGACTAGCCTGTAACGTGCCTTCAAAATCAACCAGGAGAGGAGCATCAGGACCGGGATCACAAAGCAGTCCAGCAGCTGGAGACAGGAGCACAGTCAGAAATACATTTAAGCTACAAATACACACAATTGACTCCAAGCTGAAACTGATATAATCACATACATTTATTAATGCCTACTCAAAATTTCTTCAAAAAAGCAACACTTTAAATGCAATGACATAAATTTGTGCTTCACTGACAGGAAACATCCATATTTAAAAGTGCATTAACAAAGATTTGTCTGACAACCCCAGTGACAGTGGGACAGGACGTGGTGTCTAACCCTAACCCCCTCATGACCCTCTGCTGCCCACAGCCCTTTTGTTGTTATTGTCCATGCAAATTCTCTGTCATCCAGGTCATAGTATGCAGAAAAATGCAATGGCAAATGTGCCCTTCTACCCAATAGGTACTTTAAATTTTGGTACTTCAAGTATATTTTAATGCTAATACTTTTGTACTTTTACTCAAGTAACATTTAGAATGCAGGATTTTTACTTGTAACAGAGTGTTTTTAGACTGTGGTATTGCTACTTTTATTAAGTAATCGATCCGAGTATTTCCTCCACCACTGGAAATCGGTCTATAATTTGCATATGCCGCACTCCACGTCCCAAAATCTGTCATTTAAGTGCCCAACCCACAGCTAACACAGCCAGTATGTCAACTGGGATTAGCTCCACAAAACCCACCCATGAAACCCACACAAACACAACCTATACCCACCTGTACACTGGTGAGGGTGGTGTATTGGTATGCTTTAACCACTGTGTAATTGGCCTCCACATCCACCAGTCCCAGCAGGAGGTACTTCCACCATCGGCTCTTCAGAATCTGTAAAATATTGTCCTCCCCTATGTGTTTCAAAGGGGAGCATCCCTGAACTTCAGCACATTTGTTTGTTTCATCACCACTGAGGGCAGTTCTGCTCCCTCCAGCTACATCTGTGCTGGATCCGTTCATGTATTAGTACATTAACACATATATTTTCTTACTGATCCACAAAATGAAATGTAATGTCATAGTGCTGATGGAAAGGTGTCCACATTTTGTGATGTTTCACACTCATCTTCAGATGGATTTGATTAATTTTGTCTGTTAAACACTGATATATTTATATTCAGACTGTTATGACTTTCACACTTGAGCACTAGTGCATCTTACCGATTAAAAAGATCAGTAGAAACATAAACACTGAAAAACAACAAAAAGTGGAGCGGTCTGAAAATGTTCTTTCTGCACTGCAGAAAGAATATGCACACATACAAAATAACTGATACTGTCGTCTGTATAAGTTTGTGCATGCTTCTCAGGGAATGCTCAGATCCTTTACTTACTACTTACAGTAAGTAGCGATAGCACATGGTATAAATTTTTATGTACATATAAAAGCACTGCATTGAAAATGTTACTTTAGGAAAAGTATTATTTACAGCATATGCTATATTAAGTATCAAAAGTAAAAGATGCCCTGAATGCCTGAGTGTTATACTATTGTATGTTATATCAGTGGAACATCAGGTGAACATTGGACAGTAGCATTTGCCCAGTAAATAAATGTAAATGTAATATTATTGCTGATATAGCACCGATGTGTTAGTAGCACGTACTGTAATACTATGTAGTGTTTACTAACCTACTGTGCTATGGTATAGTAGGGTTATGTCAAAGTGGAGCTAATTTTAATAGGCTATGTATATATTGTAAGCTAGTTTTATGAAAATGCATCATATTTAATAAACTGATGACATGTTACATGACATGTGAATACTACAGAATTTGTGCTGTAAGTGCTATGAAGTAGGCCTGCTCAAGCACAAGTACTTCAGAACTAAATGTGCTTAGTTACATTCCTCTACAGGTGCCTGTTTATGTTACAGTGTGCTATGTTTTACAGTTAAACATTAGCATATAACTTGTACTACACAATACTAAAGTAAAACAGAACCATTCATTAATATTGCTATCATTTAAAATACTATTACTCCTAAGTTAAAGGCGTTCAGACCCTGAGAGGTGGGGTTACCTGCTCTACAGAGCAGCATGGTGGTGTAGGTGACACACAGCAGGGTGTAGTTCAAAAAGCTCTGTAGCATGGGTGTGTTTATATGGAAGTCTGTGGCCAGGTACTGGGAGGTGATGGCCGTCCCACAGATGAGCACAGCCAGCCCCTGACTCATGGCCAACATCTTGGCCAGCTGCCTGAGAGAGAGGAGAGGGTATTTACAGCCTCCAGTCACATTTAGTTTTCAGTGTCGTCCACTTAAAACATTCTTCAGAACATATCACTATAATCTAATCTTTAACATGCTCTTTATAGGCCAAGAGTTGGATGAGAAGACTAATACCACTCATAACTGTACATTGGATCTGAAGCTAAAGCTAGCAGCTTGCTAACATAGCATAGCATACGGATTGGAATAGGGTGAAGCAGCTTGTCTGGCTCTGTCAAAAGGTTAAAAAAAAAAAGTATCCATATAAAAACTCTAAAAAGGACAACTCACTGTGTTTCAGTGGGTTATGGGGTCTATAAGGTCTGTAGTTATAACTGCTGATAGGCTGGTTTAGACTTTGGGCCACATGTCCTATAGTGCTTTTCTAGAATACAAGTGATCAAAGAGTCCATTGCAGAGGTCTTTCTCATGAATTAAAGAGCTAAGACAAACGTGTCATGGTGGAGGAAGCTTATAAAACCTGTCAACCTCAAAGTTGTTCTTATGGCTTATAACTGATTTGTGCATTATTTATTATTAGAGCCTTTCATCACAGATTATTACTCTTGGTCATGTCTTGTCTGAAAGTGATACCAAAATATGAGTAAATTAACTTTTTACCACTGTTTATATTACAAATATTTTATTTTAACAATGTTTAATCTTTTTGTCCTAATGGAGTTTATTTAATGCTCATTGTTTTTAATGCTATTAATGAATTTCTTTGTTCCAGTGTATGAAATGTGCATAGTACAGGAAATGAAGCTGCCTTGTCTAAGTGCTGAGAGACCATGGCTCCACAAGTTACCTGGCTTTTAACACACCAACATGCTCCAGTGTTAGCTCACCAATTGAAAACTTCCCTGGGACTGAAGTTCCTGATCCTCACCATGAATCCAGTACTTCGGTTCATGTCTCTCGTGTCCCTGAACGCATCCTCGGACTGTTCAGTAGCCATGTTGCCACACCAAGTGATGGAGGAATCCTCTGTGATTTAATTGTTACAAGCTTTTAACTCCTTGGGCTTCAAGGTACTAGAGCTGAATGATTAACTGGCTCAGAGGACAAAGATTACTCTTTCACTTATCTGTGTGAACAAAGCACAGTGGACAGCCAGCGGAACTTAGAGCTGATTTTAACGACTTAGAGATTAACCAGTAATGAAAATAATAATTAGTAACATTAAAACACTTTAGGCGCAGTTGGAAATCAGCTCCAACTCAAACAGCTACTACCAAAAATCCTGCTTTTACATTAATGCACAATTAATAAGAATTTAATGGTGTATTACAAGTAGAATGACCAGATGAGGCATTTTTCTGTGGAATACTTTGACTTTTAATACATCAAGTACATTTCCCTGATTATACTTACATGCCACCAAAGAAACTAAATACTGGTTTTTAGCTAAATGAATGTAAAATTCTCCTCCCTAATGTTCTCTGTCTGATACGTTCATAGATCTATCTATTTATATTATTAATAAAGATAGTAGGAAAAAGAAGGAACATTTCAGTACTGGGACACTATGAGCTAATCCCCAGACAACTGTAGTATTTGTCTCGCGAGATTGTGCGAAGTGATAAGTTGAAGAAACATGGCGACGTCTAATTTGTTAAAGGTAAGAAGGGCTTGAATATATCGTATTTTCCATACTAATGTGTAGATTTAAACTCTTCTCTTTCATATATGTCCACTATTAGTGCAGCTATGTAAATTTACCATTATTGCGTACATATATATGCACTAATAGTGTAACTATATGAAATAATAGGTGCGCCTGAAGTCACAGTTGCCACCGTTGTCGTTGCCGAAGTCCGGTGTTTTGTCGGAGTCTGCCTCCCCAATGTTTCAGCCCCCTGCCCCCTGCCCCGAACAGAACCTGTCCTCAAACCGAAACCCAACCTGTCCTCTTCAGTGATTCTTACCCAAAACCCGACCATTTCCCTTACCCCATTTAAACTTCTCTGCGAGATGAACCACAGCCGAACAAGAAGTCAAGCCCTAAACCCGACACTGAAGAACATGGGAAGCACGGTCTCAGAGAAAAACAGTCTCCGACAATCGGACACCTTTCCACGTTCGCAGCACAACCGCAACCTCCTTATTCTGGCTAACGGTTGCTAACTCGCTAACGTGTTTGTTTTAGCTAGCCGACCGGTAAAAGGATCTCCTGTCAGAAAGATAAATACACCGTCTGTGTCCACAAGGCCCCGAGAAGCATTGCCTCTCCGTGCAGCGGATCTTACTGTCTGATAATAAAGTGGACCGAATTAGCCAGTAAAATAAAGAAAAGTGCTAGTCGGTGGCTAAGTAGCTTTATGGGCTAGTAGGACAGGAAGCGTTGACAGGTGTCCTGACCCCGGCTAATTTCGGGGTAAATACGGGGGATAGGGGTTCCACAGAATTTGGTTTCAGCTCGATATCCAAGTAATACAGGGCCAGAGGTGGAAAGTAACTAACTACTCAAGTAGCCTGCTGTAGTTAAGTACAGTGTTTATTATTTTATTTTCATTTTCTGCTCCTTCATGCTTTGACTTCTACGTTTCAGAGGCAAATGTACTTTTTGCTGCATTACATGTATTTGATAACTTTATTTACTTTTCAGAAGCAGATGAATAAAACTAAAGACAGTTTGATCATAAGACTTAGTTGATCCCTGGTGGGAAATTCACAAGCTACCCACCAGCATGTAAAGTAACGTTCTTCAGATTCGTTAGCTTCATCTTTACCAGCTGCAACATTAAAGTGATGAACACAACACACACCTGTCATTACAACCCAGTAATGCCATATACATGAATGTGAAATCTGCCGTTCTGCATAATGAGTACTTTTACTTTTGGTGCTGACATCTTTTTACTTAAGGAGTATTTTGAATGCATTACTTTTAATTGTAACAAAGTATTTATACACTGCGGTATAGCTACCTTTACAGTAAGTAAGTAAACAATCTGAGTAGTTCTTCCACCACTGCTGCTTTTCATTTCCAGCTCAGTGGGCATCGGAAGGACAGGAATCAATGGTTTCACACAGTGCACTGGAGTAAGAGCCAAACTGTAGTGCCCTTCTTATTTTTATTGAATAGAATGGGTTTTAATCAAGAATCCTTTCTGAACCAAATCGTGAGTTTGCTAAAGAGCTTCACCCATAGTGTGTCACTGCTATTGACCCTTACTGTACATGGTTATTTCACTTTTTCCACAGGTCCCAGAAACTAACACTACTTCACAGCTGAAATGATTGGTTGACTGTTTGACAAAAAAAGGCAAAAATGTTTATAATGGATCAATTGTTCAAGTATATTTTTAAACAAAAATACTAAAAATTCACAGATGCCGCCTTCGTAGGTTATTGTCAGTTTATTTAAACTACTTTATTGCGTTGGCCCCTGGTCTGCCTTCATTTTGTATGTATGTTTTTGTTCTCATTGTGTTTCTTCCTCCCACTCTACCATCCTAGAACAAGGGGTCCCTGCAGTTTGAGGACAAGTGGGACCTGATGCGACCCATCGTTCTCAAGCTGCTCAGACAGGAGGCCGTCACCAAGCAGCAGTGGTTCGACTTGTTCTCGTAAGAGAAGCTCTCTGCTCTGTTCCTTATTTTCCTTGTCTTTTTCTAGCAAAATGGTCCAGTGCAGGATTAACAGAACTGCCTCTACTGCTACAGTTGCCATACTTTGAATGCAGAATGGCAGTCGGCTCATAAATCATTGCATACTATTTCGATGCATTTCAGCAGTGCACACATGCCATTGAATGTGCCTAGTTTTTACCAACAGGTGTTGTGCTTTCCCTAATCCCCCACACATTGTCATAAATCTGTGGGTAAGCCTGTTGTGGGGTGGCTCCTGCTTGTAATCTAGAATGGAAAAGGGTGTCTTTTTTCAGAATGTAACAGCTTAACTTATAATAGAAAGATGCTTTAGCAACCACTTTTTAAAAAGACTCATTTGTGGACTTTAAAGGTAGTATTTTTCTTCCATGCTTTGATATACACTGATCAGCCACAACATTAAAACCTACTGCCTCATACTGTGCAGGTCCCATTTGTGCCACCAAAACAGCTCTGACCAGTCGAGGTGTGGACTCCACAGACCTCTGAAGGTGTCCTCTAGTATCTGACACCAAGACATTAGCATCAGATCCTTTCAGTCCTATAAGTGTGAGTTGGGGCCCCGATAGATCAGACTTGTTTTTGAACTGTCGTGTTCCTTAAACCATTCCTGAATCATTCCTGCAGCGTGGCACTCTGACTGGTCTGCAGCCATGAGGCCCCATACACAGTGATCCACTGTGTTGTGACCCCAGTCTATCAGAGCCACCATTTTGTTTCTCAGCAGTTTGTGCCACAGTAGACCTTCTGTGGGATCGGACTAGATGGGCTAGCCTTTGCTCTCCATGTGCATAAGTGAGCCTTTGGTATCCATGACCCTGTCACCGGTTCACTGCTTGTCCTTCCTTAGACCCCACTGTTGGTAGGTACTGACCACTGCAGAGTGGGAACACCCAACAAGACCTGCTGCTTTGGAGATGCTCTGATCCAGTCATCAGCCACACAGTTGTATAGGAGGAGACTGTGTGATCCGCATGGGGAGGACATTGTCAGTCCCACACACTGTATAATGGACTATGTTAAATTCTGTGTGGAGAACACTGTGCCCACCAGGACTGTTCAGTGTTTCTCCAACAACAAACCCTGGATCAACCCTGTGGGGAAGACTAAAGGGCTAATGGTGGATTTCGGCAGGTGCAGACACCCCACTCTGACACTGGTGAACATCCAAGGAATAGACGATGAGAGGGTGGACTCATAAGTAACTGGGTTTTCATTTCAACGGTAAGCTGGACTAGTCGAACAAAACTGATGCACTGTGCAAGAAAGGCCAGAGCAGGCTGCTGAAGAGGCTTGGGTCATTTGGAGTTCAGGGGACCTTTTTTGATGCAGCTGTGACATCAGCCATCTTCTATGGAGTGGTCTACTGGGGCAGCAGCATTTCCTCTGCGAACAGGAAGAGACTAGAAAACTGATTAAGAGGGCCAGCTCTGTTCTGGGAGGTCCCCTACCCAGTGCTGGTGTTAGCTTGGCTAACATTGCTTGAGAGGGATGCCCACCTCATGCATGGGAGTCTGTCCGTACTAGGCAGTTCCATCAGTGACAGACCACTTCACCCCAAGTATGGGACTGAGCAGGTACTTCCTGTTGCTCTCAGGCTGTACAACCAGCACTGTTCCCAGTAGACCCACCCCAAGTGCAATGATATGTAAATATTATTCTCTATTAGTTTATATTGTTAATATCTCAGCTATTATATTTCTACGTTTTCCACTGTGTGCCTTCTTTACATCCTTTTGCTGCTCACATCACAAATTTCCTCATCGTGGGACTAATGGCCCATTACAGTTGCTCACATTCTTACACTTTCAACACATCAACTGCAACCAGATAATCAGTGTTATTCACATCACCTACCAGTGGTTTTAATATGGTGGTTGATCAGTGTAATTCCCTTAGGATGCTTGTAGTCTATCAGGGCAGCACAGCGCTGCAGTGGTTAGCACTGTTGCCTCACAGCAAGAAGGTTCCAGGTTCGACCCGGGTCCTTTCTGTGTGGAGTCTGCATGTTGTCCCTGTGCCTGTGTGGGTTCCCTCCGGCTCCCTCCCTCAGTCCGCAGACATGCAGGTTAGGTTGACTGGTGGCTCTAAATTGCCTGTAGGTATGAATGTGAGAGAGTCATTGTCTGTCTCTATGTGTCAGTCCAGTGATCGACTGGTGACCTTTGACCCTTGATTTGATTTGATTTGATTTATTCTTTCAAACATGCAGAACAAACGACATCAACACACACATAATTACACAATCCAACCAATGCTCATCAAGAATCAGTTTGCTTATACCTAGTACATGTTTGAATGGAGTAGGAAGAAGTCAGACTTATCCAGTCCTACCCCATGACATCATCTTATACAAAAAATTTCATGCATCATTGGCTGCAAGCAGTATCTCTACATAGGTAATTCTCTTCTTCACCAGACAAGTAATACACAGAAAATTTAAAACAGA